ACTAGCTAGCTCTTGTAGACCAGGCTGGTCTCGAACTTATAGAGGTTCTCCTGCCTCTGTCTCCCAAATGCTGGGATTAAAGGTGTGCAACACCATCACCTGGCTCTCTGCTTCTTTTTTGTTGTTGTTGTTTGTTTTTCCAGACAGGGTTTCTCTCTGTAACAGTTCTAGCTGTCCTGGAACTCCCTCTGTAGACCAGGCTGGTCTTGAACTCAAAGAGATCCACCTGCCTCTATCTCACATGTGTGGGATTAAAGGCATGCACCACCACCACCACCTGGTGCACGCTCTCTCTGTCTCTGTCTTTGCCTCTCTCTCTCTCTCTCTCTCTGTCTCTCTCTGTCTCTCTCTGTCTCCCTTTCTCTACCCAGTTGCTTCATGCTCCTGCAATAATGCCTTCCCTGCCATGATAAACATGAAACTGTGAGCCTAAGGAAGCTCTTCTTTCCTCTGTTAGTTACTTTTCTCACTGATGTGATAAAATCCCTGACAAAATCCATTGAGGAAGGAAGCATTTATTTTGGCTCCCTGCTTGCTGGTACAGTAGTCCTTCATGGTGGAGTCATGATGTCAGGAGCTTAAGTACTTGGTCACACTATTTCCACAGTAGGGAAGTACAGAACAATGAATGCCACCACTTAGCTCCCTTGCTCCTTATTCTGTGTGGGACCCCAGCCCATGGAAAGATGTCACCTCCATTTAGAGTGAATCATTTACGCTCAGCTAATCTAATCTGAGAAATCCAGGATAGATCTGCCTGGAGATTTGTTTCCATGGTGATTCTAACTCTGTGAAGTTGACAAAATTAATCATTAATACTTTCTTCCTTTTTTTATACAATTCATTTATTTTTATTTTATGTGCATTGGTGTTTTGCCTGTGTATACATGTCTGTGTGGGGTGTCAGTGACTCCCTGAAACTGGAGTTACTTACAGACAGTTGTGAGCCACCATGTGGGTGCTGGGGATTGAACCCAGGTCCTCTGAAGAGCAGTCAGTGCCATTAACCACTGAGCCATCTCTCTAGTCCTATTAACATTTTAAGTTACTATCATCAGGTATTTTTGTCACTGTAATGAGAAGGTAATGCCGTCTCTGTGATTTGTCTCAGTGGAGATTTTAGGGTGGAGGTGATTTTTCCACAGGATTTTGAAGACATTATTCCATTATCTGTGCTTTCCAGAGTCATAATTAAGAAGCATAATGGCCCTTTGAGGCTGAGCAGGAGGCCAGCCTGGTCTACAAAGTTAGTTTCAGGACATCCAGAGCTGTCACACAGAAAAAGCCTGTATCCAAAAAACCAAAAATAAATAAGAAAATAAATAATAAAAAGGCATTTTGATCAGAATCTTTGTGTATGTCTTATCTTCTCTTTCTGAAAATTTGCAGAATATGTTTAGTTCTTACTTTTCTGAAACTTCATGCTGATATGCCTTGGTGTGAAATTACTTTTTCTCTTGTCCTTGATACTCGCTGGATCCTTTCAGTTTGGAGAGTTATGTCCTTGATTTCTGAGAATTGTATTGAATTAAGTCACTGGTGATTTATTCCCCCTCTATTTTTTTTTTTCTTCTCTGTTCCCTGTTTCTAGAACTCTGGCATTTAGCTATTGACCTTCCTAGATTAGTCATTTCTTTTTCTTTTTTCTTTTTTTAAGTTTTTTCAAGACAGGGTTTCTCTGTGCAGCCCTTGTTGTCCTGGAACTCACTCTGTAGATCAGGCTGGCCTTGAACTCACATCAATCTGCCTGCCTCTGCCTCCTGAGTGCTGGAGTTAAAGTTGTGTGCCACCACCACCTGGCTTCTAGTTTTAGTTTTCAAGAGTTCTTTTTAATTCTTCAGTAGCGCTCACACTTATCAGCACCCTCTTTTCGATTCTAGGTGCCGCTCCACCCTTTATCACATTGGAAGGTTAATGACTTTATTTCTCCCTTGCCCTTTCCCAACCTGACTGCTGTGCTCGCTCTGATGCTTTTCATTGGATGTCTCATGACCCTTGGCTTCCTGAAGTTGAGGCTGTGGCCCAGGAGTGGGGCTTGGCTTGTTCAGAAAAGGCCTGCATAGTTATTGGGGAACAGATCTAGACTCTTCAAATGTTCTCCCTTGTGATGGTCATGGCCCCCAAAGGAAGCTTCCTTCAGGCCTGGAGGAAGAAAGCCTAACTTCTAGCATTCTGGCCACAGAAGACTGTTGCTCGGCGTTGGGGGAGGGGGAGGCTTGTGACCTTCTGTGTTGGGGATCAGACTTTCAGTCTGCTTTATGGAAGGGCAGAATTAGTCACCTTTGGGTCACTGCGACTAAATACCCAACAGGAACTGTCTGTGGAAGGGAAGATTTATTCCGGTTGATGGTCAGAGAGTTGTAGTTCACCATAACAGGGAAGGTGAGAGCCAGCGGCTCAGGCATGGCAGTCAGAGTGGAGAACAGTGGCTCAGGCATGGCAGTGGCAGTGGGGGCCACCTCCTAGTGTCCTATTTCTGCCAGCCAGGCCCCAATTTATCTATTTATTTATTACTTCTTCTCCTCCTCCTTCTTTTCAAGACAGGATTTCCCTGTGTAGCTTTGGAGCCTGTCCTGGAAATGGCTCTGTAGAATAGGCTGGCCTTGAACTTACAGCGATCTGCCTGCCTCTGCCTCCCAAGTGTGTGGAGATTAAAGGCACGTGCCACCATAGCCTGGCAGAAGGCCCCAATTCCTAAAAGTTCCACAGCCTTCAGAACAATGTCACAAGCCAGGGACCAAGCACTCAAACAGAAGCCTATGGGGGAAGAGTTTAGATTCAAACTGTCTTAATTACTGTTCTATTGCTGGGAAGAAACACCTTAAAAGAGACAACTCTTAAAAAAGAAAGCATTTAATTAGAGGCTTGCTTACAGTTTTAGAGGGTGAGTCTGTGATCATCAAGGCAGAAAGCAGAAAGGCATGGTGCTGGTGCAGTAGCTGAGAGCTTTGTATCCTAATCTGAAGACAGCAGGCAGAGAGACTGGACCTGGAGTGGGCTTTTGAAACCTCAACGCCCACCCCCAGTGAACATCTACTCCGACAAGACCACATCTCCTAATCCTTCTCAAATAGTTCCACTCTCCACAGACTAACCATTCAATTATGTAAGCCAGTGGAGGCCATTCTCTCCCATCACTCATCCAAGCCACCACAGGCCATAAAAGGGGCTCCCAGGGAAACACTCTTATTTACCAGTTTATCCTAAGAAAGCCAGATGAGGAGGTAAGAGGTACATGGTGTGAGGTATGTGAGATGGGTCCCCGACACTGGGGCATCTGTTGTAGTGTTGGGGTGTGTCACTCTTTTGAAGTATGGAAGCTATTCAGACCCTGTCCACTGGGTTTTTATGGAAGTTCTGTTTCTGAAGATATGATTAAGTTATTTGCCGATATGATCATGTTCAATTTTCATTTCTCTTCCCTCTGAAAAGATTTGAAGTTCTCATCCTCTCATCAAATGGTTGGATCCTCTGGCAGCCAAGCCTCCATCCTAACTAACATAAAAAATACACTCTTGGGCTGGGGATGTAGGTTTTCCTAGATGCAAGAAGCCCTGGGTTTAATTGTTGTGGGAATCTTTCTGGATTAAGCATTCCACGTTGATGAGACTGGCAGAGAGGAGATGTCACAGTGGACCGAAGCCAGGATAGATAGCTGCTGGAAGCCTTTGGTATTGATCCAGTTTGTGGTCTCCTTTTATACTCTAGAACCACAAGGTGTGGTGGGCAAGCAAGCAGACATGGTTTTATAGAAGTGTACCTGACAGTCAGCAGGTTGTTAGGGGCAACCATTGTTACAGCTGTTTCTCCAGGCCTTTCTGTTTCAGGTAGCAAGGGAAGTCACTTTTGGCAAATAGGCAGTACAAGCAGTGCCTTGTATAAATCACTAAATAAACCAATAAGTTCGTATCTGATAATAATAACTGGTCTTTTCTACCTTATTCCACTTCACAATCCTCAGCCTTGCATAAATTTGGTGTGGTGGTGTGCACGCGTAATCCCAGCACTCAGGAGGTGGAGGCAGGAGGATCAGAAATTCAAAGTCATTTTTAGCTACACAGTGAGTTTGAAGCTGGCCTGGGCTACATGACAGCCTCTCTAAAACAACATAATGTCCTTAGCACTCTAGACCCCAAGGCCTTAGTGGTTCCTTTGACAGAGACCCAGAGCAGAGGCTAATGGTCTTACTTACTGTGTACTTATAATACAGACACAGATGTGGTTCAAGAGACCTTGCCTGTACAGTTAAGTCTCCATGACACCCCTTTCTAGCTCTCTTTGCTTACTGCCTGTCACACTGACACACCCAATCTGAGCACTGGGAAGCAGAAGAGAGTGGCTAAGAATCTGAGCTCCATCCATCCCTGCTTGCACATATGAACCCAGGCATACACAGTCTCTCTACCCTGCAGTGCCCACCCAAAAGAGGGTGACAGAACACTCCTCTAAGGTGCTATAAAATACTATAGAACATGGCCAGTTATGATCTGATCACAGTACCTCACAAGGATGGCTTAGCCAGTGAGACAAGTGTCAGCTGAGAGCATTCACCCCATAGACAGGAGCAGAGGGGTCACCAGTCCAATCTTTGTCTCCAATTTGAGGATGACATGCAGATCACAGAGAAGGGGACTTGTCTAAGCCCCTCCTGTCATTCATCTATGGACTGGGAGTGGGCATGGTAGACAAAGGTACTTTCTGCTTCAAAATGATTTCTTGTCTAGGGAAATTGCCTGTTTCTGGAAACATCCAAAGAGCCTTATGAATCTAGAGGTCTGCCTGGAAACAGGTGATGAGAGCTCTGGGCAGCCAATGAGATCATGCAGGCCTTCTACCTGCTTAGGGAACTCCCCCTTCATCCTGCCCAGGGAGTGCAGCTTTGAGTGAGTGGGGTATTTCCAGATTTGTGGCTTTCACTTCCACATCTACCACGTGGGCAGAGTGACCTGCTGTGGACGAATCAGATTCCTCCCCACACCAGCTTCAAGAGGTGATCCCAGGGCTCAAGGGTCCCAGGCACAGGAGCAGCAGCAGCAGCAGCAGCAGCAGCACCTGTGAGGAAGGCTAGAGACCAGAGCTATGGACGACCAGCGCGACCTCATCTCTAACCATGAGCAGCTGCCCATGCTGGGCCAGCGCCCTCGAGCCCCAGAAAGGTATGTGTGAGTACCACCAGCAGAGAGCCTTCAAATCTGGAGGGGCACAAAATGCAGGCCTGGGAAGGAGCACTGTGCTGAGTTGCAGGAAGGCTGCTTCGAGTCTGACTTTCTGAGTGATTTTTTTTTTTTTTTAAAGGCAGGGTCTCTCTTTATACAGCCCTGGCTTTCTACATAATGAAACTCACTATGCAGACCAGGCTGGCCTTGAATTTATAGAGATTTGCCTTCCTCTACCTCCCAAGTGCTAGGATTAAAGCAGTACATCCTCAAGAGTGGCTCTGAGTAATCTTAAATTGACCCTCCCTCAACTGCTAAGGGTATTGACTTCCCCTTCTGTTAACCGAGGGGCTCCTTGAGGACTTGTAAGAGTTAAGAAAACCCTTGATTCACTCCTCAACGTTTCATACCGTAAGGGCTTCACAGACCCTCTGAAGCTGGGGCACGACTCTAGGCTATGACTTGAGATCATAGTGTTCCTCCCTCGGATGAGTTCTCACTTTTCCTCAATAAATCTGTTTGCTTTCCTAGCCTCAGATCTAGAAAAGGTTCCGTTGCCAGTGGGGAAACCATTTCCGAGGACAGTAGAACTGCCAAAGTGCATGTATGAGCCTGGATAAGCACAGCCCCGCCATACCCAAGTCCATACCTGCAACAGGATTAGCCTTCTGGTGTGTGTAGAGGCTGGCTGCCATGCTAGCAGCCGCTCAGAGAGAAGGGGCTCCTGCTACATGAGCGGAAGGGGCTCAGTGCTGCTGTGGGTCAGACCCATGCATGAACTTCTTCGTTCTTTGCAGCAAGAGGCTGCCCCAGCCATTCAGATAGCCCCGGGCTCCTCTCCCAGCCCCCCAGTGACTTTCAGCCTTGTGCCCTCCACCCCAAAAATAAAACCTAAACAGGACTAGAATTCACCTGCCCTCTTGTCCTCCTTCCCCAAACCCAAGCTCCCAACCCCCATTTGCTGTCTGTGGTAACTAAAACCAGATGTGACGTCAGCTGTTTCCAGGCAGAAAGGGATTTGAGAGAGACTCTGAGAGAGCGCAGAGGGGTTGTGTTCTGGAAAGGAGGTAAACAAGACATAGATTAGTAGAGCAGTGGGGAATTCCAAGGCAACTTATACTGTCGTAGGTGACCACAGAAATATCAGCCTCTTTCTGGGTCCCAGCTTAATGGCAATAGGTGGCACAGTCTGCCTTTGGGTACTTTTCACCATTCCTCAGATGCTGTTGACCGTCATTATAATAATGATCAAGTTACAGACACCATCTTAACCCTTACAGTTACTGTAGCTAGGAGTTGCGCGTTTTTATTATCTGCCCCTGCGCTTGTCTTTTTTTTTTTTTTTTTTTTTTTTTTTTTTTAAGACTGGTCCCACTATGTAGCTTTGGCTGGACCTCACAGTGTAGCCCAGGCTGGCCTTGAACTAATAGATATATGCTTACTTCTGTCTCCCGAGTGGAGTGTTGGGATTAAAGGTGTGTGCCACCATGGTTGCTGGCATTTTCTCCATTTTCACACAAAAGGAATCTGAGCTTATCTTGGTAAGGAGCTTCCAGGTGGTCTCAGTTGGTGAGTGTTGGTCTGAGTTTGTTCTCCCATGTGAGGCCTTTAGAGACCTCTTTTTTGGAGAGGAGAGGTGGGAGCTCCTTGATCTCAGGCCTCTCAAGGAGGGCTGTGTTTAGAGATGGTGGTGTCTTAAGCTCTCAGGCCATTCTAAACAGGGTTTGATTTGGGGCATTTTTCATGAACACTTCTGCCTGGCAACATCTGTGTCATGATTCCTGATAATTTTGATTGGCCTCTGACTTTAGTTACTTACCTTTTTTTTTTTTTTTAAGTTATACAAGGAGGAAGTACAAAGGAAGAAGTAAAACCAAGAGATAACAGACTTGGCACTCAATCAGAACCGAGGGCCAGACAATCTGGAGGCATAAGAGGCTGGGTATGATTGTGCATGCCTATAATCTCAGCATTTGGGAAGTGGAGGCAGGGGGATCAGGGGTTCAAGGCCAGCCTCATCTACATGAGACCATCTCAGAAAAAAAAAAAAAAAAAGAGAGAGTAAATTTAATAAAAGAGGAAGAAGGGCAGATGCTAGATTTGACATCCAACCTTCCTGAGAGCAGTATTATTGACAGAGAAAGATGTGTTAGGTGTTGGAGCCAAGTGGCCAAAATCTCCACATTTTATTTACTTATTTATGTTTTTTTGTTTTGTTTTGTTTTGTTTCTTGAGACAGGATTTCTCTTTGTAGCTCTGCTTGTCCTGGAACTCACTCTGTAGACCAAACTGAACTCTGGGATCCTCCTTCCTCTGCCTCCCAAGTGCTGGCATTAAAGGTGTGCATCTCTACCATCCCTCCATGTCTGCTTTAATTAACAATCTCATTCTAGGCTCTTACCATTTCACATATGGAAGTGTCGACTTGCTCACACTCGCGGAGACAGGCAAGCAGAAGATCTAGGATAGGATGCCAGTTATGGCTGCCTGCTCTCTTTGTCAATGAAACATGTGCCCTTCAGCCTTTGAAAGGATGAAGTTCAGAAAGGGGAGGGATGTGGCTCCCCCTAGCCTGTGTGGTAGGAGGTAGAGCTGGGATTATGTCTGAGTATGGGGTGGTAGAGGGGTTCAGGGGTTCCATGAGTCACCCAAGTAGATAACACAGCAGAGAGAACCTTGAACCCAGGCTACATTTTTCTTTAGAAGGCCAAGAAGCTGAACTTATTCCTCTTCCTGGTCTGATCTCCCTTCCCCAACAAAGCATTTTTTGCTTTCTCCTTGCAAAATAAATCTTCCTTAGTCAGAGAGTTGGCAAGCATTCAGCCAATGAAAATTAGCTATGTCTGTAACATCATAAATTACTAGGCAGACAGGTCTTCTGGAGTTTTCTAAATCTCCCTTCCTGGTTGTAGGAGTAGGCAAGATGAAGACTCATCATGAGAATTTGTAATAGTCTGTGCTAGTCTGGGTCTGTGCTACTATAACGTATATTATATATAGACAGGGATTTATTTCCCACAGTTCAGGAGGTTGGGAAGTCTAAGATCAAGGTGCTGGTACCAGATGACAACTCTCTTGCTGTGTTGTAAATGTATGGCCGTGAAAACGCAGGAGCTCCCTCTGACAAGCCTTCTTACAAGAGTGCCTAATTCCGTTCACTAAAACACTGGAATTTTAAAGGGGATGTGCTCAAACAACAGCAGAGTGCTGGTAGTTCTTCCCACCAAGACCTAAGTGGGGGAAGAAGAGCCAGGAACTCTTAGGGTCTGGAGTCAGACCCTTATGATCCACACTGTAACATGTGCATGCACCCCCCAGAGCAGTATTCAAAGCCCCAAACATCAGCAGTCCCTGATGTCTGAGGGTCTGGCCACCCAGGAGCATCAGATTAATACAGGACTAGCTGTCTATGTTGCCGTTGACCCCCCCCCCCACTTGGATATCACTGCACAGTGCTTCTATGACCACAGTATGATCTTGTTTCATGGGAATCTGTGCTGGGAAGATGGCCTGGTTGGTAAAGTTCTTGCTTGAGAAGTACAAGGACCTGAGTTTGAATCTCAAACACTCACTAATCTTGGTACTGAGGAGGCAGGGACAAGAACATCCCTGGGTTTGTTGGCGAGATAGTCTAGCTGAACCTTTGAGCTTCCTGTTCAGTGAGAGACCCTGCCTCAAAAATAAAGTGGAGAGTAGTTGAGGCTCTGACGTGAACCTCTGGTCTCCACATACATGTACACATGAGCACGCATACATACAAGCACATGCAGCGTACATATACCACACACACACACACACATCACACACATACCACACACACACACACCTATACACCCCCCCCCCACACACACACACCACACACACACAATTGGAATTGCTGGGGTGAGAGTTACTGATGTGACACATGACAGAAGCTGGGAGACTGGTGAAGATTGGTTCAAAGATTCCCAGAGGCTGTGTCTGTGGAGGGGATGGTGCCCAGTGATGTTCCTCCCACTTGTAAAATGTCTAGGCTCCACTTCCCTTTTGCAGGGACGCATGTTCTTTGCTGTCCCCGTCGAATTTCTTTCCCTTTTCACTTTAAACCTGATGTCATTGCAGGGATTGGGGATAACACAGGGGATGAAACCTTTCTTCCTCTTACACAGTAAAAGCACCTATCTTTTTCTGCCAACTAAAATAAACAACTAATAAATAAAACAAAACCAAATCCTTTTCCCCTGAGGGGCTCTGCTCCTCAGCTCTCCAGGGCAGAGGGAACCCGAGTAAAGAGGGAGGGCATTCCATGTTACCTCGGCACTGCAGATGCGACACCGAAGCCCACAGTAAGCAAGGACCTTGGCACATTTTTCCCACAGAACTTGCTTGGGTGCCAGGTGGATCTGATTTCTTTCTGGGAAGTGTCAAGGTCCTTACCCTTCTGAGAGGGCATGTGTGGGGCCCAATGTTCCCACTCCAACTCTGGATCATTCTCTCACTTCCTCCTGCTAGGTGCAGCAGTGGAGCCCTGTACACCGGCTTTTCTGTCCTGGTGGCGCTGCTTTTGGCTGGGCAGGCCACCACTGCCTACTTCCTGTACCAGCAGCAGGGGCGTCTAGACAAGCTGACCATCACCTCCCAGAACCTGCAACTGGAGAGCCTTCGCATGAAGCTTCCTAAATGTGGGTGTTCCACCTGTCCTGACCATCTCACTGTCCCTCACCTTACAGGCCCCGCCCATTTCTCCATCTAGTCCCTTCCCACCCCCCCAGGGTGCCCTAATCCTTGGACCTGAACTCAAGTAGTCTGTCCTCTCTGCCCCACAGCTGCCAAACCTGTCAGTCAGATGCGGATGGCTACTCCCTTGATGATGCAGCCACTGTCCATGAAAAGCATGCTCCATGGGGTAAGGAAAGTGACAGGAAAGAAATACTACCTGGTCTAGGCAGAGAGCAGGTACCAAAGGGGAGGGGCAAAGGGTAACATCTGACAAGGAAGCCAGGTCCTAACTGCTGGGAAGGAGCAGGGTCCACCTCAGAGAGGCTTGCCAGGGTGACGGAGACCAGAACTCGTGGAGTTACCCTGATGGAGAGAGGACAAGCCTGCAAAGTGCCTCTTACCTTCCACAGCAGCCCCTAGTCCCTCACCTCCCCCAAGCCTCTGATAGCAAGGTTACTCATATAACTACTATTGGTACCTTCCCCAGGGAAGAGTGAGCACACGATTGCTTGTCCCGTGCTGAACAGTCAGCCCTAAAAACACACACATTCAGGCAGCATTATATGGACTAAACAGGTTTTATTTAGGAATATACGGTATATAAACATATATGCAAGCAATAATAACAAATGAAAAAAAAGAGGCCATGAATTAGAAGGAGAGCAGGGAGGGACATATGGGAGAGTTTGGAGGGAGAAAAGCGAAGGGGAAAATGTAATAATTATAATCTTAAAAAAAGCAAAAACTGCTGTTGGCAAGGCCATGACAAGCTTATGCCAGCTTGACCAGTGAGGACATGGAGTGGGAGAGTAGGTGGGGCTCCCACGTTAGGTGGCAGAGCCAAGCTGGTCAGTGCATGGGCCTGCCTCCTACTAGACTTCAGCTGCCCCCACCCCAATCCCACTTCTCAGCTAGCACTGCTAACTCTGTTCCCCTTTCCACAGCCTGTGCAAAATGCTACCAAGTATGGCAACATGACCCAGGACCATGTGATGCACCTGCTGCTGGTGAGTGGGAGACCCAATAAGCAGTCCCATGGCCCACATGGGACCCTGCCCCTCACTCACATGCTAGGCTCACTATAAACTCAATATCTGCACACCACAATATAAGGTGGCCCTTAAATATTGCATATAGCCTACCCCCCTCCCGTTAAGTGTCTATATAGTTCTGAAACTGGCTATGCTATGTAGACCAGGTTGACCTTGCACTTAGGAGATTTGCTTCTGCCTCTGCTGAGATTAAAGATGTATGTCACTATGCCAAGCACTAGCCTCCTTAGAGAGAGAGAGAGAGAGAGAGAGAGAGAGAGAGAGAGAGAGAGAGAGGTTTATTATGTATGGTATTCTGTTTGCATGGAAGAGGCACCAGATCTCATTACAGATGGTTGTGAGCCACCATGTGGTTGCTGGGAATTGAACTCAGGACCTCTGGAAGAGCAATAACTGCTCTTAACCTCTGAGCCATCTCTCCAGCACCACCACTCAGTTTTGAATTGGAAAAACTAAGGTTTAAGTCTTGGATGTGACTTGGTCATGATACACCATTCTCCTTCCAAAATTAGTATTTCACATGCTTGCTCTGTACCAGGCACTATGCAGGGTTCTTGGTTTACAGCAGGGAATCAACTTTAACACAACAGTGACCTAGTAATGAGGGGCATGCAGCTGGCTGTGAGGCTAAGCGGAGGACCCAGTCTATTTAGGGGTGCTCAGAAAGTCTTTGGAGAGGAAATCTTCAAAATAGGCAGACATCTGTAGGGAGGAAACTAATGGTGCTGGCTAAGCTGGTCTGGACCCTGACTGGAGCTACATAGCTGGGTGGCCCTCGTCCCTGCTCTCCATCATCAAAGCCAGGTTTCAGGTTTGCTGTGGCTAACATCTCCTCCTCAGAATGAAGACCTGGGAACACAGGGTGCACATTCACTCTTGGGTATCATGGAGTTCCAAGTAACCTTCCTCTTGTCCTGCCACTCTGCAGAGGTCTGGACCCCTGGATTACCCAAAGCTGAAGGGGAGTTTCCCAGAGAACCTAAAGCACCTGAAGAACTCTATGGGTGGTCTGGACTGGAAGGTGAGCAGCTTCAGTTGACTCTCCTCTTTCCACAGTAGCCTCAGGACTAGAAACTGGTGAGGGGTGGGCTAGGGGAACTGTTCTCTGGGATACAGGGGACCCAACACCACAAAAACCCCATGGGTCTTTAAGAGGCACCCAGGCTGCAGCTGGACTCCAGATGTTGGGGCTGTGTGATCCTCCAAGTTTGTTGCTGGGTAAAGTCCGGTAGGGTAGGGTGTTGGCCCCTGACCCTGATGACTTGCCTCTATTCTCATTAGGTCTTCGAGAGCTGGATGAAACAGTGGCTCTTGTTTGAAATGAGCAAGAACTCTCTGGAGGACAAGCCCGCTGAGGCTCTGCCTAAAGGTACTAGGATGGGAGCTTCAGAGTGCCGGGGCTCCCCGGAACTGCTGGTTAGGGCTCCAGCAAAGCGTGCACAACTCCCCATCCTTTCGGCTCACTGTCTCTTCTCGCCTGCTCCTTAAGGCTTTGGGACTCCTGGCATCCTGTTTGTGGGTCTTCTTTCACACACATACCCAAAGTATAGAGGCCTTTTGCTTCTCTGTCTTGAGGCATAACCAACTCAAAACACACCAGGCAGGAGTCCTCGGAAGGACACCACCCAGCACTATCTCAGGGGGCAAGGGCCACAGAGCCAATGAATGCCCAGGGCCCGAGGCACGTCTCATTCACCAGCATACTGGAGGCTGGACACCTAAGGCATTGGGAGATGCGTCGGTTTTACTTTGATGCTGTCTCTTACTTGCTGTGCCCCACTGGGCTTCTGTGCCCCACAAATGCTAGGCTAGTGGCCCATTCTGATACATAGAAGAGAGCTTGCATTCACTCTCAACCAACATCTAGCTAATTTTCCAGTCCCCCTTTCAGCATCCCTAACAAATGCAGCTCCCATTTCTACTTGGGTTATCTCAGTAACAGGAAGGTCTGGCTCCTAAAGGTGTCCTCAGAAAGCAGAATCAGGAGGAGTAATTATTAACAGAATATGAATATATTCTGAGGCAAATGACTCCAGCCATGCTTTTCTTCTTTTTGGACCTTACTGGTTTCAGCCTCGGGCCTCAGTTTTCCCATCTGTGCCATGGGAGGAATAAAGCAACTTGGATAGGCATTAGACCCATGACAGTGGTATGTGGGCCTCTGCTCCGTTGAGACCCTGGCCCAGAGCCCATTTACTCACTGTCTTCATCATGCCTGTAGCTTCAGTACTGACCAAGTGCCAGGAAGAGGTCAGCCACATCCCTGATGTCCATCCGGGTGCGTTCCGTCCCAAGTGTGATGAGAACGGTAACTATTTGCCACTCCAGTGCCACGGGAGCACTGGCTACTGCTGGTGTGTGTTCCCCAACGGCACCGAGGTCCCTCACACCAAGAGCCGCGGGCGCCATAACTGCAGTGGTAAGCAGGGGCCACTATACCAGTGACCTAAAGGACTGGAAGCAGTAGGAAAGCTGAGGGTCCTGAGACCATCCTAGGAAACATGGGGTCAGGTCATGGGTTGGCCACTCTCAGTCATGCATTGGCTCTTCATCCACCTGGGCGCTCCCGTGTGTGCCTCCAACCCTCTTCTCTCCTCTCATTCTTCACGCACTGTCCTACACTGGAGTCTCCCACCTCACCGTATCCCCAACCGCATTATATACCGTGGTGCCTCCTTTCCCAGGCTCAAGGCCATACCCAACAGGAAATATGCCTTTGTGCGCAATGGCAGCAAAGTGTGTGTGTGTGGTGGGGTACAAACGGCATGGTGATTCCTTTGCAGAACCACTGGACACAGAGGACCCATCTTCTGGCCTGGGCGTGACCAAGCAGGACCTGGGCCAAGGTAAGGGGGCCCATGGAGGGGGTCGCCCATACTCTGGTGGTGCAGCGTGACACTGGGCCATTCTCGCATATCCCTGGGCTGGCTGGCTTTTACAGAATAGACTGGTGGCTGGAAGCTGAGTGCCCGAGCCCAGCATGGGGGCAATGGGGAACTGCCTGATCTGCTCTGTAGTTCCAAGGTGCTGGGAAGAGGCAGGGTCAACAACAGGCCAGCCAACCATATCAACTTCTGCTTCCCTTCCCAGTCATGATGTGAAGACGGAGGCCAGCTCTGCACAGCGGTAGCTTTCCTGCTCTCCTGTGCCCCAGCCTTTCTACCTCCCCTTGATGTCACATCCCACTTCCTGTCTCCCTGCACCTTGGGGCTTGAGGCTGATGTCTGCTTCATCATCCCTGGACACGACAAATAAAACCAGAACAGAATGAGGACGCTGGAGGGCCCTGCTGCCCGCCTCCATCTAAAGGGATACAAAGCTCAGAGTGGGCGACGCTAGGTGGACCCCATTTCTGATTTAGCAGCCTCCAATGTGGGGCTTTGAGATGTAGGCCCACACACAGGGATAAGGAGGGGTGCTCTACTCATAAGCTATACTGGACACATCTGTCTTCTCCTCAAGGAAGAACCCAGGCCCTCCTTCCAACAACCCTTCCTAACCTCCTGCCAACCCCCCAGGTACCTTGCTCAGCCAAGCTTGTCAGCAGCCTGTAGGACCATGGCTCGTGTGACAATAAAAGGTAGTAAGTAGAACATTCTTGCTTCTGGCTCTTCCATTGACATCCAATTAGTTTACCCAAAGAAAGTCAATGAAAACCTTAAACCTAGTCATCTAGGTAGCCAGGGCCTGTGGAGACTGCGGCAGTCCGCCAGATACTTAGTACCCATTTAACATTCAGAAACAGACTCTTGCCCAGTTTTAAAAGCACAGCTCATCGTGTCCCAGCTTCCATTCCTCACGTCCCCAATTCCATTTCTGTACTAAGAACAGCGTAAGTGTGATAACAGATGGCAACGGACACAGGGGCCTAGTGTCAAGAACGGATGCAAATGGGGGCTGCCACCAGCTGGCCGTCTGTGCAGGACCCAGAGCTACTCAGCTCCAGTCCATTGCTGCTGGAAAAAGGAGTAGGTCCCTGGGAAGCCCAGGAGTCTGAAATGAACATTAGTGCTGTCGTTCCGTTTCTTTACGTTTAAATACGTCTGAGTCAGCACAGCCAACGACACCAACACAGCTGTAATGAAGGCAATGATTGTTCACATTGGTTGGTGTCCCAAGGCTCTGTGCACAGGGTCTCCAGGGCCCCCTGCAGGAGCCCGAGAATGTTTAGCCTTCTGGTGTCCCACAGGACTCTAGGCTAAGGTGGCCTTTGAATGCTTATGCAGAGGCAGCCAGAGGAACAGTGCCATCCTCCTCCCTCAGTCTACCCCAGGAACTGAGCCAAAACACACATGTTCACTTTATGCCTTCATTACAACAGAACTATTTCCTGGAGAGAGGGCAACCCTCAGCCTTGCTTCCTGTCCTTCCACCCTTCCCATGGCAGCCACTGATGCTCTCCACCACCTCCCTCCGCACCATCCTAACTCCAAAACTTCCAAAGACCCCGTGGCCACCTGTGTCATCTACTATGGCATCTGACCCTCCTTCAGGTCTCGTCAAGCTCAGAGGCCACCTCCTTCAGGGAGCTCTTCCTGGGGTGCTTCGCCGAGGCCTTTTCTTTACCAAACTGCCCTTCTCACAGTAGCGCAGGGTCTTGGCATACAGGCAGGCAGGAGTCCTGTGCTCCGTCAAGGTTGCTACACTGTTTTTCCTAGTCAGTGGCGGCGCAGGTCCAGATGCATGGGGGACTCAAACCTTTACATTTACAGTCTTTTTTATTTTAAGTTCTTAAAAAACAAAAAACCCAGAACAGCTGGAAAACTGATAGGACAAGGTCTTGGGATAAGCTAGGGACCCAGGGAGTGGGACGAACTGTAAGTGGGACCTTGCTGGGTCTGCAGAGCAGAGGGAGGGAGGTCCTGAGGCCTTTGGGCATGGTGGATTTGAAGGGGGAGAGGCAGGTCACTTAAAAAAATATATATATACTGTACACATCTTATGCAGCACTCGGAGGGGGTGGGTGCTTCATCCCTCTTCCTCCTGGGGCTGCCGCCTCCTTGCAGGCTCACTGGCTAGGCCAGCAGCACACGCTGGAGTCGGCCATCATCTTCTGTTGAGGGAGGGTAATTTAAAAAGTCCAGTCCCAAGTCACACTGGCCAGAGGTCAGAGGTCTCGGGACAGTTGCACTCTGATAAGACTCTAGAAGGAAACAAAGCAGGCTTTGGTCACATTTCCTGAACCTTCTCTCCACAAGGAAAACCAGCTAGCTTCACCACCAGCCTCAGGCAGGAAGGACCGACCCGACCCTCTGCATGTGGCTGATGTACCTGTTAACAGTGCCCCTCAGTCCCACTGACCCTGGGGGAGTTGCTGTCTCTCTAGCTGCCTCCCTTACCTGTTCTATGAGCTGGCCCTCACACGGCAGGCTCTGCAGTCTTCTGTGAAGAGAGAGGGGCAATGTGATCTTAGTGTGGCGGGTCCTCACCACTGCTGCCCCCCCTCACAGGGCAGGGCTCCCTGGAGGCAGGGGTGATAACTCATGGGCGTCTCTGGAGCCACACCTCTGTAGCTCCCACTGCTAGGCTTTCCTGTGCATCCAGGCCTGGGCCAAACAGCCTCTGACCTCATGAAGTGGATGGCTATTTCTTCAGTGGGTATCCCCACTGGTCAGGACATGTGGGACAGGCATTTCCTCACATCCCTTCTTCTCACGAGGAAGCTGGTTGTAGCTAACCCAGTTTCCTGCCCGTGGGGGGTCTCTCCTATCACCCCTCCCCCATTCTTTCCCACAGGGTCCACTAGAACTTAAGTGCTGGTGTTGGAAGGGAAGGGTTTGAATTTCTGGCCCAAGAGCTCCAGGAACTCAATCTACCTTTTTCTTCTTTTTCTTCTTGATCTGTGAGTCAGGGTCTTTGGCTGAGGTCTTTTTTCCTTTCTTCTTTCCCTTTTTGTCCTTGCCTTTCTTTTCTGAGGGAAGAAAGGGAACCCCGACACTGAGTGGGTCCCAGTGGCGGCTCCCAGCTCCTACAGCACCAGGAAAGCAAGCCCTGGTGGGGCCAGGGTGCCCTTCACATGCCAGGGCCTGTCCATGGACCACACAACCCAGGGCCCCAATACTAGCCATGCAAGTGCTTTGCCACTGAGCTACGTATCCAGTCTTGAACCAACTCACTTGAGAACCCCTCTCCATTTTAAAAAGGAAGACAGGAGCCCCATGGGCTCCTGACACCGAGGGGCAGTAGGCCCTTATGCAGACAGCCAAATACCTCTTCCCCCCAGACTCTTGTCACAGATGGGCAGACAGTGCGCAAGAGAACTTCCATGCTCGGTGTGGTGGTGTACCCGTTTAATCTCAGCACCCAGAAGGCAGGGGAAGGTGGATTTCTGTGAGTTCAAGGCCAGCCTGCTCTATATACTAAGTTTCAGGCTGGCTAGGCTAAATAGCGAGACCTGGTCTCAAAACGAAACAAAAGTCTCCACTGCCCAGGGCAGCAGGATGACTCAAAAGGAGCTAGCATGAGGGCAATAAATGCTGCTTTCACTGAGTGAGGAACTAGATTCTAGAGGAAAGATGTGTTCTGGATGAGGATGCAGGCACATTCCACAGCTCAGCAATCCACAGTGGACCTCTGGTGTGAGGTAGGGTGGATGGCAGGCTCGCTGTTCCCCATCCTCGTGAAGCTGGAGTTGAGCTTATGCTTTCTAAAAGGCTGGTGTGGGTGTAAATGCTGGGCACTGTGAGGGGTCCCCTGGGCTATGGGGAGAAGGGGATGCAGCAGTGGCCCAAGTGCTCTGCGATCGACTTTCAGTTTTGCCATCAGAAGCCTGTGGTTCTAGACAAACCACTTCCCGGGCTCTTGTTCTTTGTGGAAAGAATGAGACAAAGAGGCCCTGGCACCCCACCCCAGCGCAGCGTCGGTACACTGCCGGGGAAATAGCCACTTACTTTTACTGGATTTCTTCTTTTCCTTCTTGCTCTTTGCGTCACTCTGTTCTCCACTCTCAACCTTTGACCCCAGTTCACTTTTGGGCTTGTCCTTGGCCCCCTGGGAGCCAGGTGACCCCTTCCCCTTGCCATCAGCATCCACTTGGTCTAGTTTTGGTTTTGCCTTGGAAGTCCCGGAGGCCTTCTTCTTGCTCTCTGGGGCCCCAGCTGCTAGCTGGTCCCCCGAGAGCTTCCGCTTCTGGCCCTTCTTCCCACTCTCGATGGCCTCTGTGGCCTTCTGCCTTTCCTGCTCCAGCAGCTCCGTCAGAACCTTCACCACAGAGGCCTGCACCTGTGCCTCGCTCAGGGGCCAGGACTGCTCCCGGAGGCACTGGGTGATGCTGTTCTGCAGAGCCTGTGTGGGTGTTGCTGGGGTCCAGGTGCTTTTCTTGGCCTTCTTGGGCTTCGGAGTTGTGGTGTCCGAGGAGGTGTCTTTCCTACCTGTGGATCACAGGTCTCGGAGGTCACAGGTCTGGAAATCTGAGGGACAGATCTTACACAGTATACGAGACCCGACGGGGTGCACCTCCTTACAACTGTACAGATGGGAAGCTGAGGCCCCAGGGTTCAGTCTCTCTCATCGTCTCCCTGTGCTCACGCCTTACACAGGAATCTCACCCTAACTTCCAGCTCCACTCTACATACTCACACCAAAACCACACCCAGTTATAGCTGGGGATGGACAGTGACGATAATCAGAGGGCAGGCCTGAAGTTTGCCAACAAGATGGAGGGGACTACAGGTGGGACTCAGATTCTGGGTCTGCCTTTATCAGTTTACTGTAAGGCTTTGGCCAGGTCAGTCCCTTAAAGCCTGTTTTTCATTGTAAAACAAGAAGCTAGAAAAGCCATGAATTGTAGATTTATATCACAGGAGAGGTCCTGCAGACTACTGTCCAGCTCCTGTCCGTGAACATACAGTGGGTTCTTAGCCCATCAAGGCTGGGGCAAGAGGCAGATCCGGGGAACTCTGGGGTATGCTGTGTATGCATGTGGTGGCTGACTAAGCAGGTTTACTGCCTGCCAGAGTGACTTCTGGTGCAGCCTTTGTTTAGAATTTTCCACGCCTCTGCTTGCCTTTGATAATTGTGTGCTGACTACACGTGTAAAAAAAAAAAACCTTCCACAGCCCCCTCGAAAATGTCTCCCTGTCGCACCGCCTCTCACATAGACAAGAACACTGGGAAGAAAGTGAGCAACAACTCTGCCTCTGACCCAGTGAGGAGAGCTGAAGTTACAGCTCAGAGCTTTTGGTCCCATCACTACTTCTAGCCTCCCAGGTCACTCGGGCAGGCCTCTATCATTCTGTGCTGCACAGAATCCCTACACTGTGGGCCCAGGGGTTCGACCCTAGCAGTGCTTGCCTCAAGGAAAAGCTGACACAGAGTGGTTTGGGGGGTGGGATGGGGTATGGGCACGCCTGACAGTCCCCTCCCCTGGATCCCACCAAATGTCATGTGACAGTTTTCTGTGTGTTACACTTTTGACAGCACGTGGTAGCATTACTCTTGCCTTGCATGGTTAAGACACAGGGATCCAGTGGCTTTGCTACAGAGTGAGCTCTAGAGACCAGTCTGTCACCCAGGTCTGAGTCATTCTGAGTCCCTACACCCAATGCCCTGGCCAACTAAGAAAAGTCAGTAGAGGCAGCTGGAGAGCCAAAGCTTCCTCCACGAGCCCAAATAAGTTGCTATAGCTTCATTAGCTCCAGAGAGGTGGCTGTACTTGCTCTCAGGGTGCCCAGGGCTGGGAACCTAGGCCTGACCCCCAGCTACATTTGAGGGTACTTCCAGTTCCCACAAAGGACCCAACATGCTTGCATTTCAGAGACTCAGAAGGAACCCAGGCAAACCCTGGTGAAACTGTTGTTGTGATGGCAAGCAGGGACCAGCCGCCTTGCCCCTCCAAGTCCTGCTGTCCCCCGACTCACCGGTTTTAGGGAACATGGTGTCTGCTGCATTCTGGGATTTTGCTTTTTGCTTGCCATCTGGGTTATCTTTGGTGGCCGGAGCAGAGGAAACCAAGGGGTTGGAGTCTGGCCTAGGAGCGGCTTTTGAAGCCTGGGAGTTGGCCACAGTCACCCCAGGAGTCACATAACCTGAGAGAAGAGACTGTAGAAGCCCAGTGTGAAGGACTGAGCCCCTACCCCCGGATGCAGGGCCTGCTCTGAGGAAACCAGTTCAGTGACTCAAATCAGGCCAACCCAATCAGGTAGAAAAGGCCCTTGGTGTGTGTCTTCTAAGCTATGTGAATTAATCTATATTTAAGGCTCATTAAAAGGGCAATTTCTGCAGGGCTGTGGGGGTGCACGCCTTTAATCCCAGCACTTGGGAGGCAGAAGCAGGCGGATCTCTGTGAGTTCGAGGGTGGCCTGGTCTACACAGTAAGTTCCAGGACAGTCAGAGCTGTTACCCAGAGGAAGTGTGTGTGTGTGTGTGGGGGGGGGGAGGTGGATTTCTTACTGCCAATGGACTGTTACCATCACAGAAAAGCATTAGCATTTTGGGCTGGTAAGACAACAGCTCAGAAGGTAAGGGTGCTTGCTGTACAAGCCCAACAGCCTGGGTTCAATAATCATAAAGGTAGGAGACAACGCCACACCGCTTCCTCCCCACAAATCATCAGTGTCTATCCTGTACTGAGAAGAGCCTTAAAGAGTGGTTTTTCTGAGCGTGTTTCAGAATCCACCTGAATCCCTTCCTAGACCCCAGGGCAGGACATGAGGCTCTGTTCTGTTGATTAAGGGCATCCCACTGGCGGGACCTTACCCACGTACTAGGGAATGGGAATGTAGACAGATGATCCAAAGAGCAACTGAAGTCTACAGCTGCAGCTCCAAGTTCTAGCCCTTACCCTGGCAAGTTACCTGTGAGGGTGCCACCATCTCATCTTCACTGGACTCAGCTGGGGTCTCCTCCACCACAGTCTCCTTCTGGGAAAGGCCTGCATCTAGTGCAGAAGCAAAGGTCTCCTATTGGGTGTGGGTCCCTGGTGGCCCTGTTAAGGCTAAGCAGAGCGCCTCAGGAAGGCTGCAAAACCTGGGTCTCCCTATGCTTGTCATCCTCCTGCACAGGGCCTCCCATTTTCCACCCATGGATGCCCAAAGCACTCTGCCTGACACATCTGAATGCCACGGTTTAACTTTCTGGTTCCTGAGCTCCCCCTCCCCCCACTTCTCTGTTTTCTGCTGTAAGGGAAGCAGAGTCTGGAGATGTGGGGCATTCAATAAAGGGAGCCTGATACCAAGAAGTTAGCTGCCCACGGTCAAACAGCAGCCAGGTCTTTTAAGTCATGCAGATATTACGTAAGGGTGGGGTGAGAAGGTCAGAGCCCACAGCTCTACCAGGTTGTGCCTTATCCCGAACCCTCACCCAGTCTTGGGGCGGACTTGGCCATCTGGGGTCTCTTGGCATCCTCCTCGCTCCCTGAAGAGGTGTCACTGCTATCACTGGAGCTGCTGGGGTTGATTGTGGGAGGCTGCTGCTTGGCGGGAAGTTTGGGTTTCCTGACCTTGTCGGTTACTTTGGACTGGACAGGTGTGCTCTGGGGAGGTGTCACAGGAAGTGTTTCCACAGCACTGCTGATCTAGTTTGGTACAGAAAGTGTGCAAGAGAAGTTACATTGAGAGGGAAATAATAAGGCCAGGCCCTCTGTGGGAGGCTCCACAAGTGGCTTCCCATGATTCTTTCCCACAGCTTGCTGGAGGGCACTGCACACTGAGGTCCTGGGAGGTAAAGTAAGAGCTAGTGGTAGCAGACACAATCATGCTGGGCTCTCACTGAGGCACGGCAGAGAGAACCCAGCCACGTGTGGGAGGAGAGTAGGGTCAATATGGTCTACAGAGCTCCCCAAACACTGGGGCTCACTGGCTGTGTGTGTTCAAGTGATGCACGCTCAAGAATGAACGAACACACACACACACTTTAAGTACACTCATGCTCATGTTGAAGCTGCAAATTCAGGTACTGTTATCAGGAAGCCATCCACCTTCTTTTTCTCTTCATGAGACCTGGGGTTCACCAATTAGACTAGGCTGGCTGGCTAGTGTGTCCCAGGGATTGACATGTCTCAGCCACCCTTGTATTGGGATTACAAACCCCTGCCACCATGCCTGGCTCTTTCCTGTGGGTACTGGAGAATGAACTCAGGTCCTCATGCTTGCCTGAAAGTGTTTTACTCACTGAGCTATCTTCCAGTCTGCCTACTGATTTTTTGTTTGTTTTGTCTCTTTGTGTAACCATTCTGGCTGTCGTGGAACTCGCTCTATAGACCAGGCTGGCCTCGAACTCACAGAGATCTGCTTGCCTGTGCCTTCCTAGTGCTGGGATTAAAGGAATGCACCACCACTGCTCAACTAATTTATATTGCTTTTCCTGTTTAATGGCTGTCTCTTTGCTGGCTGAGAAGCCCCATGAGTTGCAGCCTCAGTGCCCAGAGGGCAGATGTTCAGCAGCATCTGTTGAGATGACCACAGCCCATTAGTTCACATAGCCACACGCTCTAGAAGCTCTTTGTGCTGACAGCTTGTAAGGCACCCAGGAACAGGGCAGCAGAGCAGCCCTTCAAAGCTGGGAACACCAAAGCTCTCTCTTGCCCTCAGGGGGTTGGATGTGCAGTGGACTCCTCTCCACATGATGGTTAACAAACCTCATTAGACCCACAAAACAATGAACCTGGGGTGGGAAGACCCAGGTCCTGGCCTGAACTGACCCCAGTGGGACACGCCCTCAGTTTTATTTAAACAGTGTCCACTAACCTTGCCCCAATAATTAACAATACACTGAAATTGGTGATGGCTAGGAGAAAATGCTAAGGTCACTTCCATTCTGAATACTAAGAAAGGCAAGCAAAACCAAGGGATAGAAAACAAATTCTGAGTCCAAGCTGGGAAGAGCAGGAAGGGTTCCACTTGCCTTTGGACTCCCAGCCTGTTCTTCCTGATAACACTATGGGGATTTGGGAGCTTGGCTCCAGGCCTGAAAGACTGCGAGATTGTAGGGAGAAAGCTACCGACTGCCATGCAACCTAGTAGCACACGCCAAGGCAGCAGAGTGAGCCTACCACAGCCCTCTCTTACCCGTCAGTACCTGAGTGGATGTTGCCTTTGGTTTCTTGCCTTTCGGCATCCTACTGGACTGCTCACTCTTGCTGGGTTGGGGGGCTGTCCGTGGGAGGGACATGGGCACAGTCACCACATTGGTTTTAGTGGCTGAAATGGAGAAGAAAGGGCAGTCACATCAGGGTACAGAAATCCTATGACTGCAAAGCAAGACATTACCCAATTATCAGGTCTTCCCACGGACCTGGTACTGGGCTTAGGGATCATAAAGCAGATGTTAGCTTATGTTTCCTGGAGCCTTCCAGGCAGCAGTCATCATGTTATTTGACAAGGCTCAGGGCCTTCAAATGGCTACTGTTGCAGTGACTCCAAGCCTTATCCTAATCTTTTTCCTCTTGAGCAGGTTGCTACTCCTAAACAACAAGCTAGAACACGGTGCCAGAGACTCCTCACAGCTCAGAATCAGTGGGAGAACTGCTGGGTGCTGACAAAGATATGCTTATCACAGCCCAACAAGATCTTATGTCCCCATTACGTACCAGCCAAATACACAGCACTATTTTGGGGCCAGTAGGAATATTGCTGTCTGTACTTAATGACAGAAATGTCACAGTGTCCTAATATACTTCCAGAGCTTTCCAGAGGGCCTTGCCACATACAAATCTACCTTAGGCTTGGGGACAAGACCAAGTACAAAATGTTACTTACCTTCTTTTTCTACGCTATAAGGGCTGGAAGCTCACTGCTGGGCTGACAGCCCACTCCACAGCCAGCTGGCTACAGCAGAGCTGTCTTAGACTAGCCTGGTCCCTGTAGCTTCTCGTCACCAAAATGCTTGGGCTTTCAGGCTTGGAGGCGGCACACAGAAACCTTGAATGTAATTCCTTCAAAACTTGGCAAATCAATGAGCTCCTCTCATCAAAGTAACAATGCAGGATCTAAGGTTGAACCCCTAGTCCTCCTGGCCAATGCCTCTGCTGGCCTCTTGGTTAGTGTTGGGTTCTTTTTGGTTTCCACAGGGAAGGGCAAGAGCAGCAGCAGCACTTACCATGAGTGGAGGGCTGTGTGGCAGGAATCATATCTTCATCCTCACTCTCAGAGGATGAGCTCTGGGCCACGGTGCCCGAGGCCTGGGCCTTCCTTGGGGTGTTCACAGCCTGAACTTGTTTAAGGGTAGCAGCTGGGCCAGCTGGACTACGATTAGGGTTGACAGAAATCAGAGGGGATTTAATCACCTTGAAAAACAAAAACAAAACACACCCAGTGATTAAAGGCTTGGCCAGGGAAAGGGGAGGGGTAATGGGTGGGAGAGGGTTTTATAAGGAGCTTGGGCCTTTGCAGACCACTCCCACCGATACCAGCTGACACCCAGCACAGCACTTCATAGCTCACAGGAGCCCAACTGACCTTCACAGTGACCCCCACCCCAAGGTAAACAGTATCCACACCACTGGGCAAATGGCAAGGCCTGATGTCCAGAGAGGAAGAGAGGAGGGCCCAGGCCACACAGCTACATAAGAAGCAAGGTGAGAGCTGGAATGTGTCATTTAGCCTCTTCTGATGACATCAGAAGGCCACCTGCTAAGTGGGGGAGGGTTCTAAAAAGCATTTCTTACAGCAGCCTGGCTATAAGATACGATTTTCCTGAAGTCTCATCGTCCCCTCCTCCAGAGATCCTGATATAGCCTCCCCGAGGTATGGCCCAACTTACAGCTCCCTGTTATACTGATCCAGTTTCTTTAGTACATAAACTGCCCAGGGGTAACAGGATGAGGGGGCAGTGGGAAAACCAACAGACCGAGAAAGGGTTCAAGAATGTAATGTGTGTGTCCCTTATTTGTTTTGAGACAGGTTTTGCTTTGTAGATCAGTCTGGCCTTGAATGAAGAGATCTACCTGCCTCTGTATCACCACATGCTAACCTTATTTGGATTCTTAAATGGGACAAGCATAAAAACTGTCACTCGTCAGATACTTCAGAGAAACAGGAACACTGCCTTCTGGTCAACTTTCTAGCTGTCGCACCATTTTGTGGTTGTGCTTAAAAGAAAAAGGAAAACCCTTACTATTTGAGCTGCACACTGAAATCCTGATGGATGAGATGATGGGCCCGAGACCAGCAGAGTGTGCACAAAGCCACCTGCTCAGGACTGGGGCTGCTGAGGGTTGAGAGAGCATCCTTTTACTTTATGTTTTTTATAACCCTGAGACATGTCTCACTGTGTATCCCACCAGGCTGGCCCCCCCACTCTTGACCCTCCTGCCTGGTCTAAACGCTGGGATTATAGACATGCTTGAGTGCCCTGATTCATCATTTTGCTTTGGGTCTGCTTTTATTTCACTGAGATGGTAAGGCGGCGGCGGCGGCGGCAGCAGCAGATCCTTGGGCTGGGAAGGCCAGGTTAGCAGCAAACCACAGATTCCATAATGTGTCACCGCACACCAGGGGACTCTGGGTCTATTTCCTCCCAAAGCCCCCAGCTGAAGAAGGCAGAGTCAGGAGCCAGGGAACTGGAATTCTCCTTTCTACTCTGCATGTTGGGGCCGGTTCAAGGCTGTTTGTGCTTTGGCCAGTGGAGGCTCAGAGGGGATAGTCAGGTCCACTACAACACCCGGCCCGCCTGCTGCACTTCATGCCACCACTCCAGGGGCTGTGAGACGGAAAGAAAGCAGCAAGCTTAGCACTATGGTGCCCAGCAATCGTGGCACACTGCTGCTGCTGCACTCAGGCCCTCCCTCCCCTGCCAAACAACCTCCCCCGCGGCTGCTCTGATCCGCCACTTCCAGAGCCTTCCTTCCCACGTGATGCAAAGGAGAAGGGTGGAAAGTGGGAGAAGGCCTGTGGCGGAGGGAGGGGGATCTATATATATGTGAGAAGACAGAAGAACAGATTGTTGGGGACCAAGAGAGGCAGCAAACCCACTGAGGCAAACAATAGCGTCTTGGGATGTTAAAAGCAGCTCCGCAGCACAGCCCCCTCCAGTCCCACCTGCCCACACCACCCCGTCCTAATGCAGGGAGGGCAGCAGATGGAGGTGGTAGTGGCCTGTTGCTGGGGGCAGGTTAAGCACTATGTTCCCCACTCGGTCACCAATGCCCTGTGTGCTCAAGCTCAGCTGCCCATCTGCAGAGAGGCTTGCTAACAGCCCGCCCTTCCCGCCCCAGGTGTGCCCACCCTGAGGAACACACAAAGCCCAGCACATGTGGACTGTGCTTTAATCAAAGAACTCGACAGAAGCAAAACACCTTCACTGGAGTGTCTCACTGCTCCCTGTGGTTGCTGGGTACTGAGAACACACAGCAGGGTATGGAGATGCCCTTCCCATGTACAGAAATAATGTTTACTGCCTGCTGTCTCATCTGGGCTCATACCCACTGTGCCCTTCTTCCAGTAAACCTCAGCCAAAGCAGGAGGTGGGGCTGCGCTCAAGGGACACAGTCACTAAGAGCTTTCCTCAAAACTGCTTTGTGGCTAGAGGTGCAGTTCAGCAGCAGGGTGGGTCCTTAGCACTTGTGAGTTCCCGGGTTCCACCCCAGAATCACCAAAAAGAAAAAAAAGGAGAAAGATTGTCATCATCACCTGGGGGCCAGTGAACAGACCCTGGGCCAATGCTACCCAGGGACTTGGAAATGACACTTTTGGAGGTGCAGCTAGGAGACTTGACAGGGCAAGCACCTCGCCCAGGAAGACCAGCACACTAGTTTCGGGACCCAGGATTGGAAGGCAGCTCTCCAAGAACCAGGCAGGGTTCCTTCTAGACCTAATCATACAAGCCCTAATTAAGTACCACAATTTAAATTTTTACAAGTTCACTGACTTAGGACAGGGCCTAAGTCCTTTGTTAAATCTTTAAAGTAATGTAAGAGGGCTGGAGAGATGGCTCAGAAGTAGGACGTGGGTTTGATTCTTAGCCCTCAAACGGCAGTTCACAACTATCTGTAACCCCAGGTCCAGGCACCAGGCACATATGTGCTGCACATACATACATACATACATACATACATACATACATACATACATACATGCAGGCAGACACTCCTACCATTTAGAAATAAAAATTTAAGTGGGAGGTAAAAGCTATGGTGTATGACGTGTTGTGATACAAGGCTGTGACACAGAAAGGATCATCCACTCTACTTAATGTCTGCATTACCTCACATGATCACTTTGTTTCTAATTTGGTATTCACCCCAGGTTCTAGCAGCCTGTGTCCTACCATGCTCTGTGGACTGTCCACATCAGAGTGTATTGGAAGACAGACGAGAGAGCTCAGAGGCTGGCTCTGAGACTGCCCCTCATGTGGTGAGACTGTCCCTGCCAGGAAGATGCACCCTCATCCACAGAGGGCAACAGTCTGGCTCAGCCAGTGATAACCCACCTGGGCAGATGGCAGCTCCTCGTCACTGCTGTCTGAGGACTCCTCTATGTTCTTCTCTGGGGCTGCGGATGCTGAGGCTCTGCTCCTGGCAGGTTGGGAGGTACCATCCTTTGGAGGGGACAAGACTCGAATAAGCCTGTGATTGGGAAGGGTGCCCAGCCAGGGAGGAAGCATGGCTCCTCTTGTGCTGATTCTCAAGGACAGTGTGGTCCACCCACCCTCCCTCCTTTCCTCAAGACAGGGTTTCTCGGTGTAGCCCTGGCTGTGCTAGAACTTGTTCCATAAACCAGGCTGGCTTTGAACTCAGATATCTGCCTGCTTCTGCCTCCAGAGTGTTGTGATTAACGGCAGGTGCCACCACTGCCGGGGAAAGTGTGACCTTTCTGCATGAGCCTTTTAGGAGCAGCTTCATGGACCATGTGGTCCAAAGCCATAGAAATTGTCAATCAGTGAGGAAGAGCTGGCGGTGAGGCCAATTCAGGAGATGCCCAGGGAGGGCTCTATGCCTCCCAGCATGGGTAGAACTGTACTCATGCAACAAGTAGGAACTAGCCTGTCAGGTTCTCAAAAGAAGCCGGAGTATCTCAACTTGTATGTGACACTTCTTACTTCCTGTAAGGTCACGACTGACAGGCTGAAACTGACAGGGACAATTTTCTGATGATCTCTACTGCCACCTTCCCAAGGTGCCACATCAGATGTCATCACCTATCAAGTCTACCAATGCCTGAGCTCAGACTATTAACAGAGCCAGCCTCACTGCCCTCTGCAACCAGGATGAGCCTGAACAATGGTCTGGGTAAGAGGCAGCTTCTCTTTCTTCCCTGTTCCTCAGCCCAGGCTTCAATGAGCCAGGCAGGCCCTCCTCAGAGAATGGCAACATAGTTCAAGCTTCTTTGTGGCTCTTTGGTAGGGGTATCTTTGCAAGCTGGCCTTGGCTTGCATGGGACTTCTGTGCCCAGTGCTGCAGAGGCCCTGTGAGCTACAGGAGTCCCTAGGATGTCCTATCCTAGGGTGGCCTTGGTTTCAGACTTACAGCATATTTCACCCAGGGGACATGAGGGGCCCACAAGGGCAAGGGATCCTAGAGTTAGAACTTCTACCTGCTCTTCCCACCAGGCCAAGACCAGTTTATGACTGATAAGTTGGTGACAGTGGCTCTCAGGCCACTCACCTGGGCTGGGACGATGGCCGACGGCACCTCCCCGTCACTGTCCGACTCCTCACTACTGCTCTCTGAGTCTTCCTTCTTCCCTGTCTGGGCCTGGGTAGCTGTAGGTCTTGTTTTCTTGGCGGCTCCTGGATGGGCTCCTTTTCCAGAGGACTCCTTGGCAGGGGCTAGGGCAGCTCTGACCTGAGAGGTCTTTCCCACAGGTTTTGTCTGGCGAAACAGCAAGGGGAGACAGCTGGAGGACCCAGGTAGATCCTGAGGCACACAAAGCTGTGCTTACAGGCCTGGCCCTAAACACCGCCCTAACCCCAGCTCCTCCTGGTACCTGGGCTGGTGCCTCTTCCTCACTGTCGGACTCCTCTTCACTGCTGCTCTCCGAGTCCTGCCCCGCTCCAGCCACTGGGCCCTTCTGCGCTTGGAGTGCTGGGGCTCCTGCTTTTCCTGTGGCGGGAACCCTTGCAGAGATGGCACTGTTCTGGACGGGTGGCTTTCCCTGAATTGAGAGGTGGCAATGGTATTAGAGGAGGAGGGGACAGGATAGGCCCTTCTTGGTCAAGCTTCCACTAGTCTGTGGCTATAACACAGGGTCATCAATGCGGGATCACTGCTGGACTACCTTTTAGACTCATCCCAACTTGTTTTGGTGTTTCTGGTTCCACTTGCCTTGGATGGGCTCTCTTGCTTTGCTGGAACAATTACAGTGGCCACTTTTCCAGATGCAGAGGACGGCCGTTTGGCTGGAGATGCCTTAGTGGGAGGTGGGTTGGCTTTGGCCTGAAGAGGTTTCCCCAAGGGCTTAGCCTAGAAGGTAGGAAGGGAATCAGTAAGGTGGAAGGTGACCTGCCACAGAGTAATAATCAAAGACTGCAGACACTGCGCTTACACTCTTTCCAACTAACAGCAATATGAACTCAAGAAATCACTTGAACCAGATGTGGTGGCACACGCCTTTAATCCCAGCACTCAGGAGGCAGAAACAGGCAGATCTCAGTGAGAGTTTAAGAGTGAGTTCTAGGACAGTCAGGGCTATATAGTGAGACCTGTTTGTAAGGACTCAGGCATTACACCGGCCTGTCCGTCACCTGGCAGAATGCACTCAGGCAGTACTCTGGTCAGCCCAAGGTTCCACTGGTTACGGTAGACTACACACAAGTGCAAAGGACCCCTTTAAAAGAAAGACCCAGCCCATTTATGCTCTTTTCCTACTGTTCCCCTGGGGCAGACTGGACTTTTCTTGACTTCCTCTTCTCTTCTGTGCTCTGTATCCCTATGTCTCTTTACCTTTTCTTTTGGTTTTTCGAGATGGGGTTTTTCTGAATTGCTTTGCAAGCTGTCCTGGAACTCGCTCTGTAGACCAGGCTGGCTTTAAACTCACAGAGATCTGCCTGCCTCTGCCTCCTGTGTACTGGGATCAAAGGTGTGTGCCACCAATGCCCGGCTACCTTATTTTCTTACCTCCCCTTCAATAAAACTTTCAATATGAATCACATCTATGGGTCTCTGTTTCCCCATTTGCCCAGGGGACCACGCTCTTCTAGGTTCCAGGGACCTGCCACCTGCAGTCCCAGCCCATTTATTCTTTATTCCTAACACTGTCCGCAAAAAACAAACAAAAGAGTCGCTTAATTTTACTGGGCCTCTACTTTCACCTCTATAAAAGTATAATAAACTATATCTACAAAAAATAAAGATTGTATGTTTAACACAGTACCTGTCACTACAAAATACTCACACTCCACACTGTACAGCCAATAGGTATAATCCTACCCAGACAAAACTGTTTTTTAGGTTCCCTTTCAGCTAGGTGTCATTAAACTCTACGTAATAGAATGGAAGTGTATAAACTGTGAGCCTGTGTCTTTCTTTTCCCTGGAATGCAAAGGGAGCTGGGGCTCAATCATCCACCTTAACCCATGAAGTAGAAACTGAGTAGCAGGCAACAGAACAAGGTAGAAACATTGTTTCAGGCTTCCGTGTAACCTCATCCTTTTTCCTTTTAAAAGTGTTTTTTTTTTTTTTTTTTTTTTTTTTTTAATGTGGATGAGATTTTGCCTGAGCATGTCTATGTGTCACCTTCACACCTGATGCTGGTGGAGGTCAGAAGAGGGGTCAGCTTCCCTGGAACAGGAGTATCAGACTGGTTGTGAATCACCATGTGGGAACTAAACCCAAGTCTTCTGCAAAAGCAACATCTCTCCAGATGCTAATTATGCTCATCTAACTATTATCTACAGAAATCCCAAAATGTCTGCTAGGGTGTCCAGCTTGCACAAATCTACAGGGATCAGAGTAACAAAGGAGAAACCACTCCAGAGTAAACACAATGCTGGGGATGGACCAGCTTTGTGCATGGGAGGCAAGCACTATCATTAAGCTATAGATGGCCTCAGCCAGTGTGAGACACTTGACAAAGACTTTGAGGGCAATTCCATTGGTGGGAAAGAGTAGAAGCACTTGAGGCCCTGACTTATTCAGATGTAATCTGGTCAATGTCCAAGTAGCTCCAGCCCCCTAGTGCCCCTCACGTGTATAAGAGTCAGGACTTAGGGAAGGTCCTCACAGTGCAGACTGTGACAAGGTCATTTTCATTTCCTCTTTTCATGGGCCAGATGGAGTGGCTCTCAATTCTGCCACCAGCAGCCTAGCCCACTGCTAGTAAGGCAGGTGCCTGGGCAGTAGCTGGGCAGGTGAAGTCTACCCACACCCACAGAATTTCTGCCTGGAGGGTAGCTAAGGCCCCAGGAAGAACACCATTCATCAGATGTACAGCTGGGCCTGAACTCAGGTAGCTTGCTCCTGGCCTCTGCCTGTTCTGGTGCTACAAAAGCCAACTTTCTTTGCTTTTGTGCATGCTGCTTCTCGCCTGAAGAGTTTTCCCTCTATTCCACCAGGTGACTTTCAGTTCCTCACAGATATGGTATTTCTCTTAAAATATCTGAGGTACCATGCTTGGCTAGCCCTACTGTAAAACTCAACAAAACAGCCCCACTTTATCCCGCTGGAACAGTGTGCACATGACCATACCCTGTCCAGGTGGGATCTTGCTCAAGGCCAAAGCCACCAAACTCCTGCCCAGAACAGCAGTGGGCAGGGGGAACTTGAGGCCCAGTCTGGGCCCAGGATTCTGTGCTCCCAGGGCTAAGAGCAGCCTCAGGTGAGCCATCCTCAGTCTCGGTCCAGGGTGGCTCCTCCCTACCTCACCTGTGCTGAGGTCTCATCTTCCTCACTGCTGGATTCCTCCTCGCTGTCCTCTGAGTCTTCCTGAGTTGTAACCCTGACGTGGGCAACTGTAGGCCCTGACCTCCCAGGGTGTACTGGGGCCACCCCTTGTCCCAGGGCAGCTCTCCCTTGGAGGCCCTTCCCCACAGCTTTCCCCTAGAATGACAAGAGGATAAAAGGGTTAACAGGGGCCTGTGAGGCCCCATGAGGGACAGCAGTGAGCCGTCTGGGCAAGTGCAGGCCTCACCTGTATCCTCGTGGTGTCAGGAGCAGCTCCTGACGCCTCCTCACTAGAGGATGAGGTGCTCACTCGCACAGAGGTGACCATGGCAGATGCAGGGGTGGAGGGGGTGGCTTTCCTAGGGGAAGCCTTTGTCTGCTTTTCCAGAGCTCGTTTGGCCTGTGGAGAAAGTGCAGGCAAAGGCTGGAGGAGACCCCCGATTCCCAGGCCACATTTATTCTGGGATGCAGTGCCTCTTGGCCTCCCTGCCAACCAGAACCCAGAGAACTCTGAAAGAAGGGGTATCAATTAGGGCTGTACCAGGCCAGCCAGGTGCCCTGCCCCGTCTTCTCTGGTCCCCACCTGAGCTGGAGCGGGAGCTGCCTCTTCTTCGCTGTCAGATGACTCCTCACTGGACTCCTCACTGCTCTCCGAGTCTTCTTTGAGCATTTCAATCTTGACCTGGGCGGCCACAGGCCCCGCCTTCTGAGGGAGTGTAGGGGCAGCCCTTTCCCCCAAGGCCTTTGCCTGGAATGAGACACACGAGAGGAGCAGGCAGCCCCAGGAAGGACACACATAGCATTACAGACCCAGCCAGCAGAACCTGAGTAAAGGGGCTGGGGCTGGCGGCCATGTTGCTCCTACACTGAGACCTTGCAATGGCTTACCTTGGCTGGGGTCACAGTCTTGTCGTCGTCAGAGTCCTCACTGCTGCTCTCTGAGTCCTCTTCTTCCTTTCCTATTTGGACCCCGAGGGCTGCTGACCCTGCCTTCCCAGGGAAGGGTGGGTGGGTGCCTTTTCCTGAGGTCCCTGGGCTTACAGTGGAAGCAGGTCTGACCTGCTGGCTTTTCCCCAAAGGTTTCACCTGGGCAGGACTTGTGCTTAGGGCCACAGCTGCTGGTGTCTTCCCACTGTCGCTCTCTGACTCCTCACTGCTGCTGTCCGAGTCCTCCTGCTCCCTTGCCTGGGCCTGGGCTGCTGCAGGCCCTGCCTTCCCAGGGATGACTGGAGGAGCCCCTTTCTGGGAGGGCCCCTTGGCAGGGGCTGAGGTACTCTTGACCTGAGGGTTCTTCCCGGAAGGCCTTGCCTGGTGTGAGAAAGTGGGGAGTGAATCAGAAGGGAGAGAGACATGTGCAAAGCTCCGACAGAGCAGACAGCATTATCTGTAAGAAGGGGCAGGCTGGGACCAGCCGAGACAACAGCAGCCTTCTAGGTCTAGGCTGTGATGCTCCTTCCCCAGGTTCACCTGAGGAGTGGTCACAGCAACTGGCTCTTCATCCTCACTGTCCGAACTGTCCTCGCTGCTGCTCTCTGTCTCCTTCTGGGACCTTCCTGTCTTGGCTTGTATGACTTTAGGCCTAGTCTTCTCTGGTGGTGCTGAGGTAGACCCTTTTCCAGAGACCTCTTTGGTAGAAACTGAGGCAGCACTGGCATGAAGAACTTTTCCAGGGGCCTTTACCTGGTGAAAGAGAAAGAACAATTCATGCTTCTCAGTTCCTCCAGTGATACCGTTAGGGAAAAACCCAGAGGTGCCCGACAGCAATTCCTTTTCTCATCTTCACTGATGTCTTAGCTACTACACCTCGGCCCTCTGGTTCCTTGACCTTGACCAGCTCCATATCATTTTAGCATCAGAAACCTTACCCAATTATCTTGCCACCACATTCTTAGCCCCCAGCAGCATCAGTATAGGTGGCCACGGACAGTCCTAGCACAGAAGTGGGTTAAATCCTTAGCTGCTCTGTAGGTACAGGCATAGGCCTCTGAGTCTAGCCAGCTCATTAAACAGCTGGCAAGGCTCAGGCAGAGAAGGGGTATAAAGGTGGTTGGTGAGCGACAGCCTGAATACGGAAAAGAAGTAAAGCTTCCCTGGGCTTCCTGTGGTAGCCAACGGGACCCCAGAATGCCTGTCCTCAGCTCCTGCTCCATCCCGTTCCCACACTAGCCTTCCCTTCGACCACTCTCCCCCAGCCAAGGGCTCCCCACTGCCTGTAGGGTTTGGAAGGGAGGGTGGCCACAGGCCTTGTCTTCTCATGAAAACTTTGTCCTACGTTTCCTTTAAAATAAGTGGCTCTGAACCCTCTATGAGGGGTAGTGACTTCTCAAGAGCAGCTTAGGTTGTTTCTACGGATGCGAACCAACACCAAACTGCAGCCCCGAGTAGGCAGGGTCTGTACACCTCAGAGCCTCAACAGCCAACTACATTCCCTGTCCCTTACACTTCAGGTTGCTGACCACTTATGTCCTTCTGGGTCCTTCCTTGGCCACTTCACGTCGTTAACCACCTCTTCTTTACCACGTTAACAATGGTCATGCACGCCTCCCCTTGCCCCCAATCCTGGATATGGACTGCCCTCACTTGCTCCTCCTTGCTATAATTCTAAGCCCCTCCCCCCCCCCATTTAGCCCCTTGTGCTTGTCCCAGGATGTGATCAGGGCTATGAGATTGCTAACTGAACTACACTCCATGGGAAAGGCCCCCAAACAGGAACAGAACAGATTCTCTCTAGCATTTGACTGCTCACGGTCTGGTTGGCTAGAAAAGCCACTAGGGCACAGGAGTGGTGGTTTGAATGAGAATGGCTTCCATAGGCTCACAGGTTTGAATACGTGGTCCCCTAATGATGGAACTGCTTGTAATGGTTAGAAGGCGTGGCCTTGTTCAAGGAGCTATGTCACCACTGGCTTCAAGGTTTCAAAGTCCATGGCATTCCCAGCTAGCTTTCCCTCTGCTTGTGGGTCAGATATAAGCTTTCGGCTGCTGCCCCAGCTCCATGCCTGCCTGCCTGCCCCACCCCCCCCCACATGGTCATGGACTCTATCCCCCTGGAACTGTAAGCATCCAATTAAACGTTCTCTTTTATAAGTTGCCTTTGTGATGGTGTCTCTTCACAGCAATGGAAAAGTAACTGAAGACAGCATGCCATAGTACACACCTGTAACCCTGGAATTTGGGAGGCTGAGGCAGGTTAGTCTGGACTACAAGGAGAGACTCAAAATGAAGAAAACCACAGGTCTCTTCCCAGCATGGCCAGCTATGCTGAGGACAGTAGTATACGGTCACTATGAAAACCAAGGCAATAATATAATCGCCAGAGTACAGGACCCGCTCTGCAGGAATTAGCCACTTTGGTTTCAGTGTGGGTCCAAAGGGCCGTTTCCACAGTACCGAAGCCCCCTGGCCAGCTGTTATCGTTTTTCAATTGCCCCCACTTTCCTGCCTCTCCGTGAACTCTAGGAAGGGTCTTTTTTACATTGCAGGGACACTCGTTACACCGTGGCTTTGCCAGCATCAGGAGCCCTGGGCAGTAGGCCAAGGGCCAGCCAGCCCTCCCCGGGCTCACCTGGTGAGGCATCCCAGCAGGGGGCTCGTCTTCACTCTCAGAGTCCTCCTCACTGCTCTCAGCCTCTCGGGCATTTGCAGCCCTCCCTGGTGCAGCTGGTGTGCCTTCTTGGAGCCGGGGCATCACACTCCCTAACTTGGTAGGGCCTGGGGTTGTCTTTGCTGGAGGCTCCTTGGCAGGAGCTGGGGAAGCTTTAGCTTGGGCTGGTTTTACCGAAAGTTTCACCTAGAAGCAGGAGACAGAAACAGCAAACAAAGAACCATTTCCCCTTTGCTGTCAAAGGGGTGTCAAGCTCTGTGGCAATGTGAACGAGAACGGCCCCCTTATGCTCATGTTTCTGGTCCACCAAAGTGGTATACTCAAGTGCTGGACAGTCCAGGAGCAAGGCCTGAAGTTAGGGGATCCAGAGGTGTCCTTATGCCTTACTAAACTCAAGGCCCAACAGCGAGAGAGAAGGTAAGGAGCATCTTATGGCCACATCTTAGATAGATGGGGATGTCTCAGCCTTCACAGGGTCAATGGGTTTGGTGGGGCAGTAGCATCCTAGTCACTCTATCGGTCTATCCCTGGCTCCTGCTGGCCCTCCCTCTAAATTGTTCAACCTTAGGGTACAACATTGGAATTTACAAAATTCATGCCCAAAATCGAACAACTGAAATAAAAAAAAAAAAATCCTGTGCTTTACATAAGCTTATGGCTTTGTATTGGGCTGTAGGCTGGTTATACCTGCTAGCCATATTTCTAATGGGACACCTTGGTTACTGCCGCTGGCACCGTCACTGTTATGACAGCCCTCCAGTGGGCCTTATCACTTATACTTGACACTTTCTTCTAGTCCAGACCACAGCAGCAGTCTTTGAAACCCTGTGATGGCCCCTCAATAACCCCACAAATAACCTTACCTAAGGCCTAGCTCAGACAGAGGATCGAGGCCCCGCCTTTCATCTTGCACCACATTCCCTTCAAATAAGAAACCGTGGAACCGTGTGCTTCAGAAACACAAGCTCCCTCTGCCTGTCTCTGCCAGTGCTGGGGCTTGTGCTCACCATGTGTCAGGCTGACTGCTATGGCTTTCTGCTTTCCTTTCCCACTGCAATTAAATATCCAATGGTCCCCACGAAGGCAGGAGCTCTGCCTACCTGGCTCCCTTTGCATTCTCAAGGTCTGGTGTTAAGCACTCAAAATTCAGATAAGGCTACAGACCAAAGGTCCTGTCCCATCCTAGCCCAGTACCTACATTCCCATTAGGCTGAGAGTCCTCTAGGAAGCCTTACCCCGAGCATGTCAGTCTCACTCCTACTCAGGGTCTCTGCTCCTGTGTCCTCTTCTCGTAACTAAACACTTGACCCTGGTGGCCAGCACACCCTCAGCTGTACTGTGCTCTTCAGTCTATGGCTGCTTTGCCTCGGCTGTAACCTTTCCAGCTGCTGACACAGACTATGACCTACTAACCGGCCACTGGGATCCGAACACCAGCAAGGCTTCTGGGAGGGTCAGAGGCTGGAAGACAGCCATGCCTGGGGATGGGTGGCAATTACCTCTACATCGGTCTCATCACTGGAGCTGGAGGTGTCTTCACTGGAACTGCTGGCCTGGCCCATTGACAACACTCCTGAGGGTGGACACAGGATTGAGTACCCTTTCCCAGAACTCCCAAGACAGTTGCTAGAAAAATCTGGGTGCCAAGCACTCTTTCTCAGCTTTACAGGATTAGTCCCCCAGCTGGGGTGGGGACCTTCCTTTTTGCACACCCCTCTGAGGCCCTGGCAAAGCTAGCAGCACTTGACAGTTAATCGAGTCACTCTTTGCTATCATGCTGAGGCACGGGGGACAAGCTGGGCAAACACCTATTCTGCCCAAGAAATGGGGACAGACCTGTACCTTTCCATTTGGTTTCCAAGTGGCCACAGTGGTCCCTATAACCCACCCAAGAGAAGTAAGGACATGCCACTCTCTGAAAAGCCCGAGTCTTGTCTGGGCAGCTGACCCAGGAGGTCAGGAAAGGGAGAAATGGCTGTCACAGAGACAAACCTGTATTTAGAATGTCTTAAATAGCATAGCTCGCCTCCCCGTCCCAGGCTCTGGGGGCCTCTCACCAGGCTTGGCAGTGGCTCTGAGGGCTTGGACACTGCCTTCCTCCTCAGTTTCAGAGGCCAAGACAGTGTTTGCCAAGGGCTCTGCTGACTTCCTAGGGGACTTCCCAGAGAGCAGGTGGACCACCCCCTTTCCTGATGCAGGGTGATGCACAGAGTTCACCATCTTGTTGGCTGTCTTGGTCTTTGCCTACAGAGTATGAGAGGGATAAGCAGATGTCAGGACAGAGCACATGAGAAACAGAGCCTCCACATGTGGACCCAACATGGCCACTTCCTATCTCCTTCCCCAGCCTAAGAGTTCCAGCCTGTAAAACAGCCAACTGGTCTGTCACCTCACCTTTACAGTGAATGAAGACAACTGTTAGGTGTTGAGAGTATTGCCATTCCTAGGTCACAGTAGTTCCTGCTTTGCATTAAGCAATAGTTCAATGTGATATCATTACTTTACATATTACTGCTACGTTCTGGTTTAGGCAACATAATCATTTATGTACCTGCAATGGTGTTTATAGATTACAGACAAATGACACTAAGTACTTTCTGATTCAGAAAATCTGTAGAGTACACAAGCACAGAAATCTTATTTATGATGGCATTCTATAGCCTAGCAGAGCCCATAACACTCCAGGTACTGGAGAAGTGCTACTCAGTGAACAGGTGAGTATAGGGATAGGGAGGAAACTGCCCATGTGCCATGCAGCTCAAGGTAACAGGTATCACTTCTATTTCACAAAAACAGCCCTGGCTGTCTGTCCTGGAACTAGCTTTGTAGACCAGGTGCAGACACAGACCGAGCTTTACCACTCTATCCTGACACAGGAGACTATGCTCTACTTACTGGGTATAACTCCCATAGGTAACAGATAATTTGGAAATAACTCACCTGGGCCTTTTCTTTCACGCTTGATGGCAAATCTGCAGCTGTAGTTGTGGAATTGACAGATGTTGGTCTCGGGACTGGAAGACACAAACACTGTGAGCAAGATGTGCTTTCTCATCTGAGGACAGGCAGAGTTTAGCCATCTCACAGTCCCACTGGTACTGGCTGCTTGGTGCTCGGGTGAGGACCTGAGGCCTAGCCCAGAACCACAAGCAAGAGCTCTGTGTTGTATCAGCTTGGTTACCATGTCTATCCCCGAGGGACTCCCAGCTGCTTCATGGCACAAGACTCGGGAGGTCCCCAGAGGGAAAAAACACTGGCTTACATTCCTACCAACTACCACAAAACATGCCTGACTCTGGCCAGTGCTCTTTGCACAGGGTGCCAACCCTTAGTCCAGATAGTCACCGGCAGGCAGGGCAGTGAGCAGGAGGCCAGCCTTAGGCAACAGAGAGAACGATGTGGAAGTCAGGTGGTTCCTTGGTGAAATGGTGCTGACCCATGAGCTGGGTCTAGCTGGAAATGTTGAGATCCAGACTACGGATGGTTTTAGCGAATGGTCACCTTAGATCTTGACATTTAGGGGAAGTTATCATTAAAGGGACAGTTGTTGACACCAACAGCAGAGCTGAATTCTTTTTTTTCTCCCGAGACAGGGTTTCTCTGTGCAACAGCCCTGGCTGTCTGTCCTGGAACTAGCTTTGTAGACCAGGTTGGCTTTGAACTCACAGAGATCCACCTGCCTCTGCCTCTTGAGTGCTGGGACTAAAGGCGTGTGCCACCGCCACCCTACAGTACTGAATTCTTTCCTGGCACTTCAACGCTCCTTTTTCTAACCCCGTGTCAAGTTTTCAACATATCTGGAAGTATGGAAGAAGAACACTAAAAACACCCGGCTCCAGCCTTTGTTGTAACTTCTTGGCCAATCTTAGTTCACACACTGTCTCGTTTTCCCCTTCCACATCACACACTAGTTTGAAGAAAATGCTTGACATCCTGTCATGTTACCCACAAATACTTCAAAGAGGACTCTTACGTTAAGCTAGATGTGGTGGCACATTGCCTAGAATGCTAGTACCCAGAAAGCTGAGGCAGAGTGTTCCTGAGTTTGAGGCCAGTCTAGACTACATAGCAAGACCTTGTTTCAGGAAGAACTAAGAAAAACAACACAACAACCCAAAATGTAAAAAGTCAATCACAAGTCAATCACCACAATTCTAAAAATTGATTACTGGCTCAAGAGATATAGGTTAGGGGTGGGGGGGGGCACATACATACGGGACAGGACCCACTATGTTATTTTGATGTGAAACTGCTTCCTTGTGTGTATGTTTTCACCTTTCTGCATCGGGTAGCAATGCAGAGACCCATAACTTGTCAGAGTTGAGAGTAGTGCCTACTGAGCTCTCAGTCCTAAATGGGACACAAATCAAGCCTACAAGGCACTGGGGACATTACAGGATAGCAGGTAGACAGAAAGCAAGAGCTGGTGCAGTGCTGTCTTACGGATATGACAAGGTCATTCCCATGAACTCACTGGAGCTATAGTTAACTACGGTAGACATTCTGGCAGGCAGCGCTAACTTGACTCAGTGGATTGATTATAACGAAACACAAACATGAAAAAGAAGAGGATATTAAAGTGAGAGAACATACTAGAGCTGTCCTGGGGAAGCCAGGATGAGCTGCAAGTATTGTATGAAACTGTCAAAGGATAAATAAAAGATATTTTAAAAATCGATTACTATCAAATACCTAATCAGTACAAACATTTGCTATTTGTGTTTGAAGCAGGACGTGGATCTGTCCACATGCACATAGGTGGACACTTGTTTGACTGGAAGGAACAGGGCCGGATTATTGTAGGCTGCTCACTAAGGGACACTGGTAGGATGTGATGGGGACAAGAACAGGGATCCCTGCACTTTTCTCCTGTATGCCTTTTATATACAAACCGGACATGCCCTGAATTTGTGACTTAAGACTAAGATATAAAATATATACGCAATATCCTCTCAAACATCTGGCACAGCACACACAAGAAAAAAATAAAAGACAAGACTGTAGAGTTGTTGGTGGCAAGAATGTGGGCGATTTCTCCCCTGCCTTCTCTTGAAGCCATTTTCAGATGTTCTGTAATGAACATTCCATAATGAATCCTGTGTTTCTTTTATAATCAGAAATCCTACTTAAAAAATGAGAAACTGTCTTCTACGTAAGTGATACGATGCCTTCAAGACAAAGAGACACAGCGATTGCTGGAAGGTGTTACAGCTGCTGCTGGGAGAAAAGAGGCCAAAGGGTCTCTAGACCACTGCCACACACTGCCAAATAAGGGGTCTGAATGAGAGTGTCTGTGAATGCTTGGTTCCCAGCTGGTGGACTGTTTAGAAAGGATAAGGAGGCACAGCCTTATTGAGTTGTGTCATGGGGGTGGGGGATGGGGATGGGGGACTTGCTCTGAGGTTTCGAAAGCCCACAATAACCCAGCCTCTGGCTCTTTGTCTGCAATCAGAATGTAAAGCTCTCAAGTAATGCTCCAGGGCCCTGTCTGCTGGCCTGCCATCATGATGACCATGGACTAGCCCTCTGAACCTGTAAGCAAGTCCCCCCAATTAAATGCTTCCTTTTACATAAATTGTCTCTTCACGGCAAAAGAACAGTAATTAAAACTACCAACAACCCTTGAAGCAGCCCCAAGGCCACTCATAAGTGGGAACTGTCAACACCTTCTGAAGTGGTCCCGACACTGGCACAAATGTAACCTCCTTCCTTTCTTTAGCAGTAGCATCGAAAACAGCCCTTGGGGAGTGAACTGAACAGCTGTGTGGGCTGCCTTTCCCCCCACCCCCTCGTAGTCCTTGCGGGACTGGAACTTACTATGTACCAGGCTGGCCTTAAACTCTGAAATTCATTTGTCTCTGTCCTGGGGGAAAAAGGTGTGCACCACCACACCCAGCATTCCAGGGTCTCATGATTCTCTCTTGGATCCTTAGAGTTCGGGGTCACAACATCTGCTACAAAGGAAGGGCTCCCCAGTACTTCCTGACCTCCGTCTGAAAAAGCCCCACCTGTTCTGGGCTTACACTAAAGGATGATTCAGAGGGGACACGGCTGTAAAGCAGACTGGCACTCCACAGCTGTCCCTGGGGCAGGTCCCAACCCCACCCAGCACCCAGCAAGGAGGGTTCTTACCGGCTTTGGCAGTTTTGATTTCTGCCTCCTCTTCCTCCTCCTCTGAGCTCTCTGAGCTGCTAATGGGGTCTGACACCCGGGACTGCTTGGCTTGCAGTGAGGCATCATCCTTTGCCTTCTGTTTCTGGCCAAGCTCTGAGGTCCTGCAGGACAGGGGAGACAGGAAACATCCATCATCTACTCAGTCTTCAAAGGAAATGTGCACACATGATAGTTTAAATAGTGACACCAACACAGTGTGGAATTATCTGCGCTCTGCATCCTCACCCACTTCCTAAAGTACTATTCTCAGTGTCACAAGCAGCCAACGATGTTACAGAATAGCAGCAGCTAACAATCCATCAGGCAACTTGTGACAGCCCATGAGGGCTGTACAGAGCCATCTAGGCTCCTCTCACCCTAGAATCGTGTCCTCCTCTTGTGCCGGGGTCCTTGTTCTTCCCCTCCTAAACTTGAGTTTGGTGCAAAGCATCTCTGCTAATGGCCCTCTGCCCTGCCATCCAGTTTCCTTCTCTGTCTCCTGCTGACTGCTTTCTGGGTGAGTTCCCCTCACTGCACAGACAGACCCCAGAGAAGAGAACAGCAACTCACTACAGTCCCCCAGTGCCTGGCATATATCTGGAGAAAGGATCCATTAGGGACTGGCCTGGGTCAAGGAGGAAGCAAGATAGTTGTGTGTAAGGTCTAAGTCAGACAGCTTAGTCCCCCAAACTTTGACCTTACCCTCCCACCCGCAGGAAGCCACTGCCTAAGCCCCATTCTTTCCAGCTGGGTTTGACACTGCTGCTAGTTTGGGATATGCTGCCAAGGTCCCTTCTTCCTAGGAAAGCCACTTATTACATGTATCAGTTTATTTCACCCCTGTCCTCCAACAGAATGTGAATTCCACAAGAACAGAGACTTTCCCTTCTTGGTTGTTCTCTGCTTTATCAAGAGTAGTATCTGAGAGAGAGTACTGGGGTAGGGTTTTCACTGGCCAGTTTTAGAACTTTATTAAACAGACCGCTGTGTTTGGGCTTCACAATGCAATGAGATAATAACATTCACTTCATAGATAAAGATAATCTATCTAGGAGATCACAAAAGTTGCTCAAGGTCATTCAGCTCATTTCTAGGTTTGACTTCATAGGTAACCACTGGTCTAGGCTGGCTTGGTGGGTGAGATATCTAACCTACTCTGTACCCCTCACCCACAGAGAGAGCCAGAGGCAGGAAATGGGACAGCTCAGGCATGGTTTGCTGGGAAGTAAGTATAGTAACATCTGCACACCTGGATAAGATGGAAAGAGAAAGGACCTGTGCCTTGTGCTTGGTAAGCAGCAGAGAGGAGTATTAAGTATGGACAGGAGGGTGACCTTAGCCCTCCCACAGCCAGACATCCCCTGCCTTCAGAGCTGTCATAATGAAACATGCACCAGCAACCCCACTTTTCAGAAGCTCAGATAAATGCTCACACCCAGTGCCAGGCTCCTGCCTTCACTAGTCCTTCTTTGAGTCATGCTTGCCTCCTTGATTACAATGTCAGGGACAAGAAGAAACCAGCTGGGCTGTGGTGAACCACACCTTTAATCCCAGCACTCGGGAGCAGAGGCAGGCAGATCTCTGGGTTTGAGGTCAGCTTTGTCTACAGAGTGAGTTCCAGAGGAGCCAGCACTATACTGAGAAACCCTATTTCAAAAACAAAACAAAACAAAAACAACAATAAAAAAACCAACCACAACAAACAAAACAAAACAAAAAACCCCCAAAACAAAAACAGAAAAACAAAAACCAAACCAAACCAAAAGAAAGAAAGAAGAAATCAACTGCTCTAATTCTTTTCTGTGACAGAATCTCACTATGTAAACCAGGCTGGCCCTGAACCTAGAGATCCTCTTGCCTCCGCCTCTGAAGATTAAAGGCCAGTGACACAATTAGCTTTTATTCTTAAGAGATCCAGTGTTCACTGGATGTGGTCAGACACTCCTTTCATCCCAGAACTGGTGGCTAGCTTGGTCTATAGAGTGAGATCCTGTCTCTCAAAACAAAAAAACAAAACAAAACAAAAAACAACAACAACAACAAAAAAAGTGCATTCCAGCTCAGCATGTCTCCCTCATGATAAGCTACACATGGAGAAATACTCATATACAAGTGATATAACCTGCCTTCTGATGGTGACAAGTGTTCACAGTAGGCTATTAGAACATATGTTAGGCCAATTTGTACATTACCTTGTTGCAAAGATGATCAGTTAGGGTAACCCTGCTCTATCCCTTCCCTTCTACCAGACTTACTGTTGCCAGTGTGTATAGATGTCCAAAAGGGTGATGGGCTGAGTCAGGAAACTCTTCTGTAGAGAAACAATAATAGAAAGCTTCAATAGGTACCCAGCCCAATTGGTATGTATCCTCCTTAAGCCTGCAACAGGTGCTTCAGAAAACAGTCTACTTGGGCAAACAGTTCCAGTTACAATCCTTTCTTTCCATGTGATACAATGATAAGAAGTACCTTTGAGAGGTGAGCACATGAACATCCAAACTAGCATCACCCAGCATCCCTAGCTAGCAAGCTATACTTAACCTCTTAGATGGTTTTCAAAGGTCAAACACAAGACAGCCCAAACCCTGAAGGCTTCCAGCCTACTGGATGTCTGAAAAGACAGGAGACAAGGTTTCTCTGTATAATTGTCCTAGCTGTTCTAGAACTCCCTCTGTAGACCAGGGTGTCCTTGAACTCAGAGATCTGCCTGCCTCTGCCTCCTGAGTGCTGATTACAAATCAAAGACATGCACCACCACTGCCTGGCTGGTTCAAGGGTTTTAGTTAAAAGAGAGAACAGGTACCAGGCTTAGGCTGAGGACATACCATGTGGACATCAAGACTGAATAGCCAAGTGCTCCAATGAGAGTCAAAAGAGTCACATACAGAGGAAAAGACCAAGCCAGCATCCAGATTGGCCTAAAGTCTGGGAGAGCTCCTACTCACTGGCTGAACACATCTCTTTTCCCTGCAAACTCCAGGATCCTTCTTCACAGCTCAGTAATCGTAAGATGGAAAGGGTTGCTGTCACTCTGAAGGGCACCATCTAGTCAGTCAATTTCATTCTGCCCTACCCCACACAGTCGGGCTACCAGCTCCTAACAGGGTTTTGCCATTCCTGTTACCTTCTGAAGGGCACCATCTAGTCAGACAATTTCATTCTGCCCTACCCCACACAGTCGGGCTACCAGCTCCTAACAGGGCTTTGCCATTCCTGTTACCTTCTGAAGGGCACCATTTAGTCAGTCAATTTCATTCTGCCCTACCCCACACAGTCGGGCTACCAGCTCCTAACAGGGCTTTGCCATTCCTGTTACCGTTCTCTTGCCAACTGCACAGCTCAACTCTTCACTTCCTTCTAGTCTCTAATCCAATGTCATCTTTTCCATAAGACTTCTCTGACCACCTTAGTTGTCACTGGAGTCTGACATTCCATATCCTCCTTGCTCCCTTCACTGTGGCCAGCACCTGCTACAATCTAGACAGGCTAATCCACATGTTTATTTTTATGTGTCTGTTCTGTGAGGACACTCTTGCTTGGGAACAAAAACCATGATGATGGGCACTATATCCTGCTTCCCCTATTTGTTAAGTTACAGGTGGAGTATGAATGGAAACGGCATCGATGTCCAGGAAGGCTAGGAAGGACACAGACAATATTCTAAATCCCAGTAGCTCTCAGTTTTGAGTTCCTTTTGTTTCTGGGACAGGGTAGCCCTGGGCTGGCCTTGAATTCACAACAGATGCACTTGCTTGGACTCCTAGAGGGCTGGGATTACACGCAAGCACCACCATACCCAGTGGCTCTGCAGTTTTCACTGTAGCCAAAATGGTATTGGCTAACCAGGTTAATATCCATCTCACCATTGGTTACCACTGTTCTTCTGTGAGGATTACCCCTGGGTCATTCCAGCCTGTCTGCTTTGCCTTCATCTCTCTGGGAGACCCAATAGTGTGTATTTCAAACTTTAGGTACAGCAAACTTTCTGGAGGCTAGCTAGGGCACTCAGAAGCTCCATCCCAACTTCAAGGCACCAGCGCCTAACTACCCATCCCCCTCGAGCTCTCCAAACCAACTATTACACCCTCAGAGAAGCAGTCCTGCATATTCCCCACCCAGATTCTGCCAGCCATCTCAAATCTCCCATTCCACAGCTTAATACAATGTTAATCATACCTATACTTGTGTGTGTGTGTGTGTTTTGCACCCTCTACTAGGCTGTAAGATGAGCAAAGGCCTGAGATTGGCACTCCCCATTTTGTCACCAAGCTAAAAGTTGACAAGACGAAGAGCTTTGAAATCACTGCACCAGGAGTTCGAGTCTGGTTAAAACCGAAGTCAAGGGCCTGCACGCCTTGCATTCCAGATCATAAAATAAGGAGGCCTTCCTCTTGGTGTTCCGAACAAGAGTGGTGACAATCCACCCGGAGACCAGCGGCTAGTAGGGTGCCCTAGGAAAACTGCATAGAGCCACGTGGCCTGAGAGTAGGGAAACTTAAACAAGCGCTACCGGGAACCGGGGCGGGAATTACAAAGCTGCGTGCCTCGGATCAGAGGTTCCGGCCCGCCCACTGCACCGACGAGGAAACTGAACCCCGGGATGCAGCTGGAAGTCGCAGGGGGTAGAGCAGAGCTTAATGCTCCTCCTGCATTCCTGGCCCGCATTTCGGACCCGCGCTAGGTCTCCAGGGACGGGGGCGGGCTACTGCTCTCTAGGTCTTGCACTCGGCCCTCCGTCGCTTACCTGGCCGCTCTGCTCCTTCACTTCCCGCGCCGCGCGGACGTAGCCAGCCTGCAGCAGATGATGGTAGATGAGGGGAAGCAGCTCGCGGCGCTTCCTGGCCTCGGCCATGCCAGAGATCCGGCCAGCCTATTCACGTGCACGCCCCCTAGCCCCCCACCAGCCTCTTCCCTCGTGCCCTAGGACCTCATGTTCCTCACTTCCGGCTCTGCGTCATCCAGCCGTGCGGCGCGCTGGGAAGTGTAGTCTTGCAGCTGGAGTGGCCATCCCGTACGAGAGGGCGGAGCCACGAAGGCTAATCAGCTCTGCCATTGGTTTGGAGGCGTGGCCTGATTCGAACCCGCCCTCGGGGCGGCCATGATGAAATGGGCTCCTTCAGTTTTAATTCTGGTTAACTTTTTTTGGGGGGAGGGGGTTTGAGACAGGGTCTCTCTGTGTAACAGTCCTAGCTGTTTCCTAGCTGTCCTGAAACTCACTTTGTAGACCAGGCTGGCCTCGAATTCACTGAGATCCGCCTGCCTCTGCCTCCCAAGTGCTGGGGTTAAAGGCATGTGCCACCACTGCCCTTGAAGCGTTTTACTGTCATGGTCTTAACGATAGGGTGTCTTTATTCATCTTCTAACTTCCTGATCGTTGGCCCCAGCTTCCAATTACTCATTAATTTCACACAATGTTTAGGATCCATAAACCAGGCATTAGTTTCCATTAGTGTGTTGAATCGCTAAATAAATCCTTACCTGAGCCCCATATGCCAGGCTAGCACCCAGCTAGGCTGGGGACATGTAAAGAGAAATAAAACAAGCAGTTGGCCTTAAAGGTTACCCAGGCGGGAATTACATTTGACAATTACAGTTCAAGAGAAGCATGGAGGAGAGGCACCTAACCCCAAAGAGACTTAAATGTTTAGACTCAAAGACAGCAGACTGCCTCTCCCCACCCGCCAGGGTTTCTTTGTGTAGCCCTGGTTGTTCAGGGACTTGATCACTCGATTTGTAGACCAGGCTGTCCTGGAAACCACAGAGATCTGCCTGTCTCTGCTTCCTGAACTCTGAGATTAAAAGCATTGCCACCACTGCCCAGCAACAGCAGAAATTGAAACTTTTCAGCACCAAGGAGAGGACAGACTGGAGGTACTGCATGAGTCAGGGTGTATGAACCACCTTGGTGCTCCAAACAGAACTCTGGAGGAGGGAGAAGCAGGCTTATAGTACCTTTCTCCCAGCAGGGCTCTGACATGCTCCAAGACTAATGTAAAACCAGGTGCTGGCAGGGGACCATGCCTTTAATCCTAGCACTCAGGAGGCTGATCTCTGAGTTCAAGGTCATCCTGGTCTACAGAGCAAGTTCCAGGACAGCCAGGGTTACACAGAGAATCCCTGCCTCAAACAAGCAAAGAACTCCAATGTGGGCTGCTGCGTTTGTTGAGGGGGCTGCTGCGTTTGTTGAGGGGACACTGACAGGGAAAGAATGGGAGTGGCCTGGGCATATTTGAAGCAGCTGTTTTAGTTTAATGGATGGGTTGGAAATTTACTGGTAGTTTTAACACTAGGAATGTTATATCTGTCAACATACATTTCCACCCAAATTCAGGACTCACATAAGTAGGTATGATGATTAATTGTCAGTGGTGACTGGACTTTAGAATTATTTAAAAGTTACTTCTATGGGCATGTTTAGTAAGGTGTGTCTGGGTAGAGCATCCAGACTAAAAGCCTAACAAAGGCCTGCTTATATTTTTTTTTTCCTTTCTTTGCTTTCTGGCCTGGTGACACGTAACCAAAATTCCTGCCAACATACCTTTCCTGCCATGATGGGCTCTGAACTGTGATCCAGAATAAACTTTTCCAATTTAAGTTGTTTCTTGCCAGATATTTGGTCATAGAAACAAGAAAAGTGACAAATGCACATTCTAGGGAGAAGCACAGAGGGCCAGATGACAAGAGTGAATACAGTGTGTAAGGAAACAGATTAATCTATTTGGACATTGAGCAAATATTTATTGAATAGCTACTCTTGGAGACCAACTGGCCTGTACTCCTGAAAAGCTTACAAGGCTAACGAGGCAGGCACATGCTAAGCAAATAGCCATGGCATGCACTAGTATAGTGTTTGAAAGACACACTGAGTCACACTCTCTGGGTTTAAATTTTGGCTTTGTTTCATAATAAGTGGGCTTGGCAAGTTTTATAATTTCTCTGTGCCTTAGTTTATCTGTGAGGTGGAGATAATTGCTATTTCTTCCTGCAGTGGTTGTCATGGAGGGAATAGAGTTCCAAGCAGAAATGTTTAGAAAGGTCTTTAACAATAGAATGGAGTACCTTGGAAATTACTGTAAAGTAACAGGAAGAAGGGATCCCTATCTTCTTAGGGAAAGTAGAAAAATTCCCAGAGGAAGTAGTGTTTATGAATTATGTGTGAGGAAGTCTGGGTTAGAAGAATCCTGGTCAGAGGGGCACCTGTTAAAAGAACTTGAGGCAGAAGGTACAGCTAAAGCTGGGAGTGATGCTGAAGCTGGGAGTGATGCTGAAGCTGGGAGTGATGCTGAAGCTGGGAGAGATGCTGAAGCTGGGAGAGATGCTGAAGCTGGGAGTGGTGCTGAAGCTGGGAGTGATGCTGAAGCTGGGAGTGATGCTGAAGCTGGGAGTGATGCTGAAGCTGGGAGTGATGCTGAAGCTGGGAGTGGTGGCCTATGCTTGTAATCCTAGAACTCTAGAGGCAGAGACCAGGGGATCACTCTGAGTTGGAGGCCAGTCTGGTTTACATAACAAGTTCAAGACAGCCTGGGCTACATACACAGTGACACTCTGTCTCAACTTTGCCTCGTTCTGGAAAAAGGTACACTTGAGGAAAGAGGCAAGTGAAGGCCCTTGTGGAAGGGACTAGGGGTGGATTGTGGCAGGGGTATTGAAGAGCATAAAAGGATAGCAGAAGGCAGACTCCATATCAGAAGTCTTTTTCTCCCACTTGAGGGTGGTTGGAGAACAGTGGCAATGTGAACCCTAGAGAGACAGGATACCATATGAACCAAATGTGGCCTGAGCCAAGTGGTGCTGGTGCACTCCTTTAATCTCAGCACTCAGGGACACAGAGGCAGGCAGAACTCTGAGTTCGAGTCCAACCTGGTCTGCAGAGCTAGTTCCAGGACAGCCAAGGCTACACAGAGAAACCCTGCTTTGAAAAACAAACAAACAAACACACAAACAAACAAGAAATAAAGAGTGATGATGATGAGAGGTAGGGGCAGCATGGGAGCAACAGAGGGTGGAGTACATCTTCGATGTAGGACAATGGCCTAGGGAGGTCCCTAGAGCTGGTCAGAGTCACCACTAACTCCTGTTGGCATGAGAGCATGACCCAGGAGCAGTTCAGAGCAGAAAGGATTATGGGGTGTCTGTGCAAACAGGTGGGCAGAACCTTTTAGATGAAGCAACAGGAAGAGGATTTGGGGAAAGGGTGGAGAGAGAACAGAGGGTGGCAAAAGGAAAGTAGAGTGTCAGTCCTACCTCAGACATCCTGTGGTTTCCTCTGTGTGTATGTGTGCTGCTTGGGATGGGGTTGGGGATGGAGTCCAGAACCTTGTGAATGCTAAACAAGCATTCTACCCCAGCCATATACCTCAGGCCCTTAATAGGTACTTGGAAATCTAGTTTGGAGACAACTTAGTCTGGACCAGAAAAAAAAAAATAGAAATTTGTCAATCAAAACAGGTTCCTTGGAACTCTGAATATAGACAACAATGCTCACCAAGAACACACAGAGAGAAAGAAGATGGTACCAGAGGCGATTTTGAGGCATGCCCACATGTTAGAGCTGTTCAAAAGACAAGCCTGCTGAAGAAACAAGCCAGAGGGTGGGCTCCTGGGAGGAAGCTGAGTGAGGGTTTCAGGAATGTGGAAGGGTGGGGAGTAGTTAGAAACTACTCAGAGGAGCCAGAGTAGTTAGAAAGATGGGCATGGATCACACCTGGTCAGGTTACCATCATGGAAGACTCAAGAAGTGGTGCATGAAGATCAGGGAGGGCTGGGAGGCTTGCTGTTGGGAAGCTTTGTGTGGAGGGGAGAAAAGTGTGTGTGTGTTTGAGGAGGTGTGTTTTGAGTTGGAAGAGACCTATGTTGCTTTAAAAACTGATGCAGACTCAGGGAGAGATGGGGGAGGCATTTTAGGTGGAAGCTAGGGAAAGGACTGGGAAGTGATGTTTGAGGGCATGTGGGAGGGAGGGATCAGGGTGTGGGTGGAGGGCTGGTCTGAGAGAGGGGGAAGGAGGACTTCAATAGAACCCCAAAGCGGGAGCCTGGAGAGAAAAGGGTGCACATGTGGATGTAGGTTTGCAGTGGGAGATTTCATCTTGAACTTCTATTTTCTCTTTGAAGTGGGAGGCGAGGTCTGCTAAGAGTGAAGAAGAGGGGGTAAGGAGTTGGAAGGAGGGAGAGCAATCATTCAGAACATCAAGCAACTTACCCACAAGATCCCTGGTGGCCTGCTGGATTTGATGACCCAACTGGGGCTTATAGTGGCCACTGTGCTGGGTCCCAGTCCATCTTTCAGAACAATTTCTGTGGCCAGGGCTCACCTGCCCAGATGTAGGAAAGACAAGCGCTCGGAGGGTTTGTCCAGGACTAGGGTTTTGTCAAACATCCAGGAAACAAAAGGGTGTGGTGGGGTCTAAGGTGTTCCCACAAGACCATAATGCCCCACCCTTAGGTCCTTACAAACTAAACTGATAGGGAAAGTGTGTAAAGGGTCAGTTTTCAGGGATTCAGCCTTCAGAGACCAGGGACACCTTAGGTTTGGGGAATCTAAGAATGCTTTTAGGTGGGGCGAATGAGGATCCGGGTTTCTGCTTGCTTGCATAGTTGGTTGCTTGATGAGCAGGACAAGATTCAAAGACTTGTGCCATTTCTCACTACCCTCTCCTCACAAGTTTCTCCTCTTCTGGGTCATTCCCAGCCCAAATGATAAAGAAAACACCCTTAAAAGGGCCTTGTGGTGTTGTCTTACCACAAGGACCCTCCCCTAGCTGGGTGGCTGTGCACAGTCGGCTCTGGTCAGTGGTGGCAGGTGCCGTGAGAAGACATCAGGATGCCTTGTGCCAGCAGGAGTGTGTATCCCCAGCTGACTCTGGAAGGAATGGAGAGCTAGTATTAAATTAAAAAAACTAAACCTACACTAAACAAGGACTCTCTACTACTTCAATCTGGCAGCAGGTTGTTTTGTTTTGTCCCTAATAAAATTC